AGTCAATGTCCACGAGTTAACCGAAACCGAAGCCTACCGTACCGTCAGACAAGTCAAAACCCTCTGCGACGAGGGGGGAAAGGTACTTGTTTACGCGTCGCTGCCGGGTCAAGGCAGTGATAAGTGCTTTCGTTCGGTTAGGACTATTTCACGTTTGCTGAAAAATTACCGCATTGATGTTGTTTTGCATGTGCATGATTCTGTCAAAAATGAAGGTCTGCACAACTTTATGACACTTCGATGCCCACATCAGTTTGCACGCATTGGACATGATATTTTCATGTGCTCGTTTGCAGGGTTTACAGCAGAGACCAAGGTCAGAAACGAACCAGACGCGGTGCATGATCACAGCACTAAGGACGGCATCATCCAGAGCATCATTCATTCATGGAAGAATGGTAAGCTCCGCAATGCAAGCCCAAAAGAAGTTGTAGACCTAAGTTCTCTTGCCTGCCCCTGCATTGCGGGTCGAAAGACCACGCCGAGCACAATGTCCGCCGCTCTCTACCTGAAGGGCGACACCCCGCGTGAGGACTGTGCCTCATGGTGGATTGGCTCCTTGTGGAGGGCTGTGTTTGCTGAAGAGTTCCGTTTCAGCATTAACCCCTTCTACACCCAGGGCATCCGATATCTGTACAATGAAGTCCCGGTCCAGACAGCAACGTCACTGGCCATCAAGGACAATTCTACAGTGTCGGATATTGCCCGCCTAGCGGCTGTGGCCGATGAGGGTCTTGCCCTCTTGCATCCTGCCTCGGGAAGAGGTAGCATTCGGCAGCTGTTAGTCGTGGGTGACTCAACCCTCTACTTCAAGGCCGGCGCCAAAACAGCATCCACGATTGCTGAGGACCTCGAGGCGATGACCTCCACGGGGGCCCCTTTGGATCACTACGCCACGGTGCGAGTGCTGCCAATTTGGGGAAGCAACCTCCGGAAGATCAGGGACACCGTGGTCGAAACCTTCGACGAAATGGTGGCCCAGTTGCCCCCTGAACAGCAGGAACAGCAGGTGATCGACATACTGGTTGTCTGGCAGGGAAATGAGCTCTTCGGCAACTATGGGGTCTTTATTCCCCCGGATCTCCAGTACTGGAACATGCCCCCGGAAGGCTACGCCGCTGAGGGCGATTGGTCGCAGATTGCCAGTGGAGTGTGTGGCAACATCCGACGAATCGCCGCCCTCAAGGGCAGGCCGTGCTGCGGTGCGATCTCGTTCACTGGACCAGGGCGTGCAACGTATTATAGTTTGCCACACCAATGGGAGGAAACTATGAAAGTGTTGCTTTCTTACGCCAAGGGTCAGGGGTGCAACGTCTTCGAGTTTGCGAACATGGCTGGTGAGCTGCCCCTCTACGATGTGTACCACTTTCGGGAGGACAGGGAAAGCCGCAGCCGCCTGGCAAACTACCTGGCAGCACTGTCGGTTCTGGCCGCAGTGCAGGACATGGTCCAGCACGTTCCGGAGGATCTGCTGCAGGAGCTTGCCCGTGATTTCCCCTTTCGTGAGGGTGGGCGCTACAGAGTCCCTGCTGAGTTCGAGTCCGAGTGGTCGAAGAGTAGCGCCGGCTATCGACACATGATTCCGGCACGGGCCTTCACTCTTGAACCTTGGCAGAGGACTATTGCTCCAGATACCGAACCGTATGTGGAGTTGTCGCAAGAGCAGGTCGCTCGCGAGACGAGCAACTACCGCCTGGGAGGCCACAAGCAATGGCACCTGAGGCGAGATGCGGACAAACAATACCAGTCCAAGGCCCGCGACGCTGATCTTGCGTCCCGAAAGGGAACGCCGGCTTCGAGCTCAAAAGATCCAGAACCTGATGGTGAGGGAAACATAGAGCTCGACAGTCGCTCGTTTGAGCAGGTCAAGCGCCGGGCACCGTGGATCGTCCCCTATCCCAAGGTGAAGTCGTCCAAAACCGAGAAGAGGGGTAGCCCTGCGAAAGCAGAGGCCGAGCCGTCTCTTTTCGTTGATGACGTGGAAGACTACCACCTTGGGTGGTCCCGATCTGAAGAACTCATTTTTGATGAGATGCGAGGAATCAACCGCGATGACTTCAACTCAATTCCGTTCGACGACCCCAGAATGGTCCACGTGCTTCAGGCAGAGTTGAAGCCTGAAGAGGAAGCCGACATTCCCCATCACATCATGAAGGGGATCACCGGTTTGGTCAGAGGCCATCGCTCGGGGCGATCGTGGGATCGGACATGGATGCTCGTTGATGAACTCATCGACATCGTGTTGGCGCGGTACAAGATTCTTCTAGGGACAAGAAGCATCTTCTCGATCGTCTACCATGACAACAAAGCGAGATTCTCACTTCGGTGTATGCCAGATGCTCTTCGCTCCCAGGCACTTGGCCAGGACCTTTACCCGGTCTGGATCCATTGTGCCCAGGGCCACGCCCAATCGGCCCGAGACCGCTACACAGACACAGACCTCGCAGTGTCCTGGCTTAGCCCTAAAAGTCAAGAGGAGATTGGAGATACCGCCGCCTTCGCAGGTAGGCCGCTATTACCAATTGAAAAATGTCCTCCCCGACTGTACCACAGGACTACCAGAGATGCTGCGTTGGCAATTGTCGAAGGGTCAATGAAACCTGGGTTTGGAGACTCGGGCAAGGCACACAACTATTTTGCCCTTGCAGCGCTCGAGGACCTCCAGGTCAAAAGTGGAGTGCGTGCCGACCTTCCCATCGAAATCGTCTACGAGACGAAGCCTGCACTGCAGCACGCATGGCTTTTCATCTCCGAGAGCGACGGCGTCCTCTGTTCAGAAGAAGTCCCTGGCACATGTGCACTCTACGTGCGCGACACTAGGGACGGATCCTACATTTGGACCAGGCCGTCAACCGAAGGGTCATCTAGCCCAGCTAACGCTGAGGCCGATGATCCGATGGAGAATGATCAGCCAAGCACTGCAGTGACCGAAGATGCTGAGGCAATTGATCAGGCAGCTTCGAGCCAGAGCGGTACAAGCTATGCGAAAAGGGTATGCCCCAAGTGCGCGCACGACTACCTCATCGGCCAGACCCTTTGCATCCATTGCGGTCAGTCCTTTATTACCCCTCGCTCCCAACTCCATCGCAGAAAGCTGCAATCGGCACGTTACTTCGCAAAGGAATGTGCTGCAGCATCGTTGGGCCGGCACCATCGGGATCTCTCAGACAGCGACATCCTTCAGGAGATGCGGAGAGATGCAGGTACCCGTGGAGCCATTTCGCCTGAGGCCGAAACGCTTGCTAAAGCAAAGCAGATGGCCAAGCGTGCACGTAATTTGGGCTTCGAGGGCATAATGGACAGGTTCCGCGGTGACGCACAGTTCGCACTCCAAATGATTGACCAAGGTCATGGAGTTGACGACATGCGTGTGTTCCAACTTCTAATTAACGCCGCTCTGCCAAATGAAGGAAGAACTGAGGCACAACGTCGCCTAGGGGTAGGATCCCATGGCACTGGTGCCCGATTCCAGGCAGACAATCCGTTTACTACAGCTCGGCTGATTTTCGTGAATTGCACGCCTCAAGAGTTGATTGCTGCGGGTCTAGCGACCACGCCGGACGATCCTGCCTTCGTAGTGTCTTGGATCGGGGCCATCATGAGCTTGGAGGACTTCATCCAGATCCTTGCGAAGTCCGACACGATTCATCGCTTGGTCACCTTCACTGGCACGGAGCCGACCAAAGGCAGCTCTCGATGGTCCCTCGACGAGAATCGGGCTTGGATTCTCGACCTGATCCGCAAGAACCAGGGACCAGCGGAGAGAGCCTACCTGGCGAAGGACGAGGATGCCCAGCGGTCACGTGAGGCACAGGCAAAGATTGCGTCAGCCAAGCCGAAGGGAAGGGGAAAGGGCGAGCAGAACCGTGGCGAGCAGTACCGTGCCCAACGCTATGAATGGACGGATAGCTATCGCCAGGGGGGACGATGGAATCGTCAGTGGTGAAACCACTCCCCCCGCCCCTTTCAAGCTGTAGTGCCATATTTTCATCAATGAAGCCGAGTTGCAGGCAAATCCGACTTATATCGCCCCGCTAACGCGGAGGCCAATACTCATTGTTGCTTTGCACAAGTAGAAAGATGAATCTTCTTTTCGCCTCATTTCCAACTGGTCACATCGTGACAACTCCGAAACTACCGGCGCCGCACCTCAATTTAACGGCTGACGGTACCAATTCGATCCTCACCTCCGGGTTTGACGCGATCGTTGGAGTTTATAAGTGCAAGCATTTTCGGACTTTTGTTTGCCCTCGGAGCAAAATCGAATTCACATGTGTCTGACGTGCTGCTGTTGAGCATGTCTTAGTGAACACAAACACTTTTCTACTCCCGCGAGGTGATCGCTTGCCCGTCGCAAGACGAGGCCGATGTGCGCTCAGTGATGTTTCAGGGTTGCAGTGCAGTCCGCCTTCCCATTGCCAATACTCGGCGAGGGGGGTGTAATTTTGCATTGCGATAACCCTTGCATTTTAACATCATGTGCATATCGTCCCGTTGCATTACCTCGCAAGCCCTCTGCAGTAGAAAATAGAGCGTTCGCTCCTGCATGGCTTAACGGTATTATCAACTCAGTGCTTGTGATTACACCTTGGAGTTTCCCTGATAACTATATCATGTGCCCATGTGGGTGACCCCCTGAGGCCACGTGAGGGTAAAAACCCACGCGCAGAGGCCTCGTCATGGCTTTGTATTGTAAAAACCCGCTTGGAAGCCACGGAAGTCCGGGCGGAAGGCTATGTAGGCCGCGGCATAGTTGTGATATGTCATGACATTAGAACAATCCCCATATATATATATTATATTATAATTCTATTATATTATAATATATTGTATTTTTTACACACACACACACACACACACGCTTATCACTTCGTGTTTTATGTTTCGTATGCATACTTACGTGTATGTCTATACATATATGCACACACACACACACACACCGGCGCAAGAGTCGTGATGTGTTGTACATCTGAATCTCGGACTTCCCACCTGCCTTCGAGGGAGTTTGTCCTCTTCGACTCCGAAGACGTGTATGTAGAGTATGCCGCGGACTCATCAGAGTTGTCAGCCAACCAGTTTTCTGATGGTGTCGGGTAGCTTGGGCAGCTTGAGTATCTTCTGACAAACACGTTGAAGAAGGACCGGCGCCCAAAGCGGATTAGGGTACGGGGAAGAGAGAGGCGTGTGGTAATTCATGTGAACTACTCGTATGTGTAATACTTTGTGGCTTCCTTGCTGCTCAGGTGATCGAGTACAAGCGAAAGTACAAGGACTAGCGCCATCCAAAGTTTGGTGAGCGGTGGGGTGTGCAGTTCCTTCAAGAGTGTTTGCTTCCAAGAAGCTGTGGTCCTCTGTGATGTACTTGTAGACACTGCACTGGAATGAAGAAACACCAGCTCAACCGGGCTGAAGAATGCTCAGTCGATCTGAAACCAGATCCGTGCTTGCAAGGCAGGTATCAGCAAGGATGCTACAAAACAGCCTGCCAAAGAACACAGTTACTTCAATCCATTTAAGCCCAACTAGACTAGAAGTACTGCCTCTTGGTGGAATCGTGCTTTACATGTATACCATCGGCTCCGAAGGTGCTTTCCAGGCAATGATTCAGAGCAAATCTCGGGCCACCCCATGTACCATGCACCTATTGTTGTGCCCGAGCGTTTGGCACGCAAAGCTTAAAGAGCCTCAGTTCCAGGACCCACCCCGAAAGGGCCATGAACCACCCGTTTTCGCAGTGTGAAAGCATGCCAATGCTCACGTAAACACTGCTGTCGCCCCTCAAGAATTTGCGCGCAAGTGCCCCGAAGTTGCATAAAGTAATCTATATATGGCCCATATGGCCCGTGCCTGGCTTTGGCTGCTCCCCATGGCCCTGGCCTTCGACTCGCGGTCGGCGCTCCGGGACGCTCTGATCCAGCCACCCGGCCCGAGACGGTTCAGGCAGTTTTGTCGCAATGTGTTGGTGATGGGAGCTACAGGCAGGCTACAGTGACAGCAGAAGGAACTGGTTCTTCACGATGTTCAATGTGTGACTTAAAGTGGCAAGCCATCACAGACTTTAGCTGTCAAGGCTGTCAAGGGCTGCATGAGATCACCCCAGGTGGGACGCAGCTGATGAAGCGCGAAAGTCCCACTTGCGACGACAATGGGGCTCGCCCTCGCAGTGGGATGTTTCAGCGATCACGAACATGAGTGGGCTTTTCAAGGCGACGGGATTCTAGAAAATTTCTAGAACTATGCTCAGTGCTGAGATGTGCTGAGTGCCCGTTTGCATTGCAGGATCTTTCTACATTCAACGAAGACATCAGCTCCTGGCACACCTCTTCGGTAACGGACATGAGCTTCATGTTTTACAAGGCCTCATCATTTAACCAGTCCCTCGAGACTTGGGACACCTCCTCCGTCAGCAACATGCGGGCCATGTTCGAAGAGGCCGTGAGCTTTAATCAGCCGATTGGGAGTTGGGACACGTCGAATGTCGCCGACATGACGGAGATGTTCTTTGCGGCGAGTGCCTTTGACCAGCCCATTGGGAGATGGAACACTTCATCCGTAACCAGCACTGCGTTGATGTTCTGCAAGGCCTCATCATTTAACCAGTCCATCGAGACTTGGGACACCTCTCGGGTCGTCGACTTTCAATTCATGTTCCAACGGGCAAACAGCTTCAATCAACCGATCGGAAGTTGGAACACCTCCTCCGTCAGGAACATGCGGAACATGTTCGGGTGGGCCGAAAGCTTTAATCAGCCGATTGGGAGTTGGGACACGTCGAATGTCGCGGACATGACAGAGATGTTCTTCGCGGCGAGTGCCTTTGACCAGCCCATTGGGAGATGGAACACTTCATCCGTAACCAGCACTGCGTTGACGTTCTGCAAGGCCTCATCATTTAACCAGTCCATCGAGACTTGGGACACCTCCTCCGTCAGCAACATGCGGGCCATGTTCGAGTGGGCCGTGAGCTTTAATCAGCCGATTGGGAGTTGGGACACGTCGAATGTCGCGGACATGACAGAGATGTTCTTCGCGGCGAGTGCCTTTGACCAGCCCATTGGGAGTTGGAACACTTCATCCGTAACCAGCACTGCGTTGATGTTCTGCAAGGCCTCATCATTTAACCAGTCCCTCGAGACTTGGGACACCTCCTCCGTCAGCAACATGCGGGCCATGTTCGAGTGGGCCGTGAGCTTTAATCAGCCGATTGGGAGTTGGGACACGTCGAATGTCGCCGACATGACGGAGATGTTCTTTGCGGCGAGTGCCTTTGACCAGCCCATTGGGAGATGGAACACTTCATCCGTAACCAACACTGCGTTGATGTTCTGCAAGGCCTCATCATTTAACCAGTCCATCGAGACTTGGGACACCTCTCGGGTCGTCGACTTTCAATTCATGTTCCAACGGGCAAGCAGCTTCAATCAACCGATCGGAAGTTGGAACACCTCCTCCGTCAGGAACATGCGGAACATGTTCGGGTGGGCCGGAAGCTTTAATCAGCCGATTGGGAGTTGGGACACGTCGAATGTCGCGGACATGACGGAGATGTTCTTCGCGGCGAGTGCCTTTGACCAGCCCATTGGGAGATGGAACACCTCCTCGGTCTGGAGCATGCAGAACATGTTTGTCAATGCCTCGGCCTTTAACCAGTCGCTTGGGGCCTGGGACACTTCGTCCGTGACGACGACGCTTGGCTCTGCTTGGCCATCTCTTGACAGTCTTCGGTGGAATTTAGTTTTCTAGGGTTTTCCAGTACAGTCTTCAGCATGGGCTGCGTGTTGCCATCTGGACAGGATGTCGTACATGTTTCGATTGGCCACCAGCCGCGGCCCGAGTCGAGAGTGCAAAAGGTTTCCTAGAGCATCTAGAGCTCAGTGGGCCAACTAGTCCTTCGAACTGTGGAAGCCTTAGCTCTGCTCGAAACCCGAAGCCAGGCTTTGACCAGCCTTTGGAGCAGTGGAACACATCCGCTGTGGTGAGCATGCAAGGCATGTTCCGCCAGACCATTGAGTTCAACCGCCCGCTGGGAAAATGGAAGACGTCACGAGTCCGAAATATGGCTGAAATGTTCTACGACGCGTGGAGCTTCAACGAGGATATCAGCAATTGGGACACGTCCGAGGTCGAGACGATGAGGGGTATGTTCTACAAGGCCGGGCGATTCAACCGATCGATCGATTCTTGGAACACCTCGTCTGTCGTTGACATCAGCCGGCTGTTTTGGGGTGCTACCTTTTACAACCAGCCGCTTGACAAATGGGACACCTCCCGGGTGACGAACATGCGAGGCGTGTTCCAATATGCCTACAGCTTCAATCGGCCAATTGGAAGCTGGAAGACATCCGCGGTCAGAAGCATGGCTTACATGTTTATGAAGGCAGTGTCATTCAATCAGCCCATTGACACGTGGGACACGTCTTCTGTCATAAATATGAAGGCAATGTTCTACATGGCAGAGGACTTCATCCAGCCTTTAGCTTCATGGAACACCTCCTCTGTCGTGGACATGGGTTACATGTTCGTCGAGGATCCCAAGTTCGATCAGCCCATTGGGACTTGGGACACTTCCAGAGTGAGATACATGCATTACATGTTCTACGGGGCCACTTCCTTCAATCAGCCTCTCGGTGCCTGGGACACCTCATCACTGCAGGACATGAGCACAATGTTTTATGGAGCACAAGCCTTCAACCAGCCGCTGTCGACCTGGAATCTCACCAGCCTGCAAGGAGACGACGCGGTGAAGGACGCCTTCATGGATTCTGGCTTGACGCGATGCACCCTGCAATCTTTTGCGAATGCCCCTGGCTTGTCCAGCAGCATCCGCAAACTCTATGACGCTGATGAAATGCGGTTCAGGGCATGCGGAACATGTGACGTGCTTGGAGCCTGCAAGGACACCAGCCTGGCTTGTGTGAGCCAGTTTTGGTGCCGCCCTGTCAACTCTGGCTTCATTGAAATGCGGGAACAGATTGGCGAAGGTCGCGCATGGGATTTGAAGAATTCCTTCCGTAGCAAGTCGGCCGGTTTCCGCCAGTGCGCGGCAGAATGCGAAGGGCTGCTGAACTGCACCAGCTTCTTGCTGGACAGTGAGCGGCACTGCTTCTTGCGCTTCCGCGAAACGCTGCCGGATGAGCTTCAGGCTGTTGGGGTCCCAGAGAGTCACAAGCCCGTGGCATTCCTCAAGTCCAGCTGCAAATATTTCTCGTGCCCTTCATGGGCAACCCTGCTCCCGTCCAGCAGCTGGCAAATCGGAGGCGATGTCACAGCGGCCTCGTGCTGCAGCTGTGGGCCCGCCCGTATTCAGGACATGAGCCAGGCGCCGGAGTTGGGATGTCAAGTTTGTGAGGGAGGCACTGTTCCAGCCAGCAATGGCCAGGAGTGCGAGGCGTGTTTCCCAGGCTTCTTCGCCCTGCCAGGATCAGCCAAGTGCGAAGCCTGTGGTCCTGGAAGCACCCCCAACCAGAACCAAAGCGCGTGTGACGAATGTCCGAGCGGCAGATATGCACTGGGTGGTGAGGAGGTTTGTCAGGCCTGTCGTTTCCCCTTTATTCTCTCCAACAACACTGCTTGCATATGGTGGCACTTGCCCATCATAGTTGCCTTGTTGCTCGCATTATCCTGCTCGATCGTCTTTTCGATGAAGGCTGTAAGGAAGTGGCAGCAGCGCAAGATCACGGTGCGGGAGGAAGAGATCGACGCCCTGTTGCGACAGCTGGAAGAGGAGCTGTGGCACGAGAAGGCAGCCTGCACATTGTTAGGTCGGCCCGTATTGTGTAAAGCGGACCCCACAGCGTGAAAGAAGGTTAACTTTGTAGCGTTGAAACCCTAAACTTCCAACCACCTTAAAAACCAGGGCGCTGCCATCAAGACCTTATTTTACCCCGTGGTTCGTTCGACCTAGTTTGATCTCTGAAGGAGATACCCCTGAGACCCGAACCACCCTGAAAAACCTTCTTCTTCAAGTCCTGATGGCCCAAACCACCCAGATTTATCTGAGACTCGGCTTCAACCCCAGAGCCCGAACCCCCGTAAAAAACCAATCCTTCCTGGCCCGAACCGCTAGATCTACCCCCTACCTCGATTTGAGGCCTAGAGCCCGAACCACCTCAATTCACCCTAGCTTGTTTTCCCGTCTCACGATTTCTCATGGTTTGCTCACGGGGTAAATCTGGGTGGCTGAAGGGCTAACTCCTCTTCGTGGCTACCAGGGCCGAGGCACAGCATTGGTACTAATACAAATACGAATACGAATACTGTACTATCAATAATACCATACCCTAACTCTAAACACACCTTGAACCTAAAGTTCTCAGCTAAAACTCCAATACTCACCCAAGAACCAAGCAAGATTTTTCCAAAAACAATTGAACTCTACACCCTGATTCCGAATTCAACCCGCGAGTTTCGGGCTCCAGGGCTCCGGCCTGAACGATTTCTGCAACCCCCCAAAACCAGACCTGAACGTTTCTGAACTCTGCGGGCATGCATGTTGCATTATTGAGGGTTTAAGACAAGATCCAAGGTTTAGTTCGAGCCTCATGAAAGAAAACACAGATTGAACAAAGACTGCATTGCCGGGAAGGACATATAGACTCGAACTGGCAGTCAGTCTTGCCTAGTGATATACTCACGGTTTTTTGGGGGGTCTTCGGGGGTAAAAGCGGGTGGCTGACATAAAAACGGCCTGGTTTGGGGTTTTCGGGCTTTTGGTGCCGCTCGTCGGGTAAAATGGGGTCGCTGCTTTCAGGGGTTGTAAAAAAATGTAACACTGGGTCGCTGCAGAGTTACATGTCAGAACCCTGTGTCGAGTAAACTTGGGATGATAACTTGTATGTCGTGGTTCCAGGGTCATTTCGGGTCGAGTTTTAGTAAAACTGGGTGGTTCGCAACCGCCTTAAAAAACTAGGGGGGTGGGGGGTAGGGGGTAGGGGTAGGAGTAGGGGTATTGGGGCTGGCGTGGGGCTTGTTGTGGTGGGGCAGGGGGTAGGCAGAGGCCAGGGCAGGGGGTAGGGGTCACGTGGAGCCTTCGGAGGAGGCACAAACGGGGGGTCTTCACTGACGCCGCCCCGCTCATGCTGGGGTCGGCAGATTAAGAGAAGTGTACCAGATAAAGATTGGGATTGTTAATAAAAGCATGAAAGCTGTAATCAACAAAGCCCGAGAAAAATGACAGGTCTTTAACGCCAGATAACAAGATCTCAGATTTAGAGTTGTTGTGCAAAAGAGATGTAAGAGAGGGAAGATATACCAGAGATGAATGGTTGAAAAATTGTTCAACTTGTACCACCTCCAAATTCTGAGATCATAGAAAGGTTTAGGAAAAGGTATGAATGTAAAAGAATTACGATAGAAAAACATTGCCTCTAGGATATACCACTTCTGGACACCCTTGAAAAACAGGTACAACTGGAAGTAGGTTTTCGCGTACGCTCCCGGATGCTTTACCCAGATGTTTGTTTGGGACAGCGTGGGGTGGTCTCCAGCATTCTGAAAGGTGTGTCAAATGTTCAAGTCGTGTGCCTGCAGCAATGTTTTGTAAAGGTTTTGCGTCGTTGGGCCCAAACTAGCGATGGGCATGCACCGGCTCTGTAGGGCTTGCTTGAGGTGCCCCCTACACACACTACCAATGGTTTGGGCCGACTTACCCTACCACCCAGTACTGTCAGACGACCACAAAAACAAAACCTCACATCAGGTGTCTGAACTCCTTCTGAAAAATCCAAGCAGCCTTCCCTGAGGTGGACACTGTGCACAGATTCGCAACCGCGTTGGGTGCCTTCGGCTGGGAGCACGCTGCGGTCGTGGACAAGGCGGCCGCCATCCGTGCACATCAAAGCGCTCACGCTGGAGTTGCCATGAGACTCGGGTGCTTGAGCTCACGTTTTGCGTGTGAGCAGCCCGGGAATCTAGGGCGCGCGGGGGTGGCCACAAGCCTGAACCCTCCCAGACCGCAAGTCAGTCCAAGACGAGACAGCCCCCTGAAACTTCTGAAACCTTGGGGCCGGCCAGACGCAGCTGAGGCAGTATTTGCTTGGCGACTTCACGATGCTGGCCCAAGAGTGGGCAACAGAGGAGAATTCAACCCTAAACTTGAATCTCCCGAAGTTCAAAGAACTTTCAAACTCGGAAGATCACCATCGAACATTCGAACACCGAACCCTCTGCCCAGAGGAGAATCCGACCTTTGTTCGATTGAAGGATGCCTTCTGGCTGTGCAGCTTGGTTAGTTTGCTCGCCGTCTGTTATCACTTCACCTTCCGGACAAAGCTGGGCTTTGGCAGGGGGGTTCGGGCCCCTTTGAAGGGCCGGGTTTGGTTTGAAAATCAACCCCACAGCCCTGAATTTTGCCTTAAAACCATTCAGCCGGAGCTTATGATGGGGGTTTGAGGTGGGAGTTCAGCTTAAGGCTCCAAAGCTTACAAGGCTCGAGACTCCAAAATGCCAAATCCCACAACCTGACCTTGGACCTGTAGGCTCCCAAGCCTGGCCAATTCTTTAGGGTTTAGGGTTTAGGGTTTAGGGTTTAGGGTTTAGGGTTTAGGCTTTAGGGTTTAGGGTTTAGGGTTTAGGGTTTAGGGTTTAGGGTTTAGGGTTTAGGGTTTAGGGTTTAGGGTTTAGGGTTTAGGGAGCCCTCAACGATTACCCTCCGGTTTAGTGACCCTCCTCCATCGTCATGATAGACGACTTCACTGCCCGCCCTGCAGTTCAGGACCTCTTTCAAGGCCATGTATGATAATCTGATGATAGATATTCACAATAATGAGAATAGATGGTTTGTGTTTGTATTGTGCAGGCGCGACCTTGACAGGGCAACAGGGTGTTTGTGTGTCGGAGGTCCTGACCCACCCTGATCCGAAGCAGTTTCAGGGCATCCAGGCAAAGCAGGGAGCACAGCTTCTCCTAGCTTCTCTTGATTGACCTCTCCAAAGCCTTTTCTGAGGTTCAGAACCAATTGGGAAGGACAAGCCTTGTCCAAGGGATGGGAGGCTTGGTTGCGCCTTGGTGGACTGGATTGCCCCCGCCCACCGGCACACACAAACCCACTTCATGTCCTGGACGTGGAGATATTCGATTCAAGAACTGCAGAGTGCACTGGATGTTTGGCGGCAGAACACTGCAAAACTTGATCCAAAGAGTGTCTTCTTCTACATGTGCTTCTTTGTCAACAATCAACATAGGATAATCTTGGAGCAGCCACTTGGCGGCATTTGGTGGCAAGACAGCTGCGAATGGCCCGTGTGGGTGTCGTAGATGCCACAGCATTCTGCGACAGGTCCATGACAGGCAGCGACGAACTGGAACAGGTCTTTCGCAGCAACTTGACCCGCATTGGGCAGATGGTTGCTGTGCTAGACACCTGGAAGGAGCCAGTGTACCTCAAGCGGGCTTCTGGGTTGTGATTTGGAATATTGGTTTTTGTTGCCACGTCGTTTTTGCTCGCATGCACGTTTTCCCGAGCATGTGCAAGCAAAGATCAGGTTTGGACAATTTATGAGCAGTACATTGCTTGCTCTCTTCAAGTTCCTGTGACTTTCGTCATGCCCGCGACTGCATCTGCATCCCTCACAGAGCAGATTTCACATGGTGCAGTTGGTATCCGTGAAGTCACTCAGTCCCTCTGCGATGTGGATTCCGCCAATGCGGAGGCCTGGGACAAGCGAGATGAAGTGGCCGTGAAGACCGCCATTCGGCAGAGTGTGGGATTCAGCCGGGTCAACCAACACGTCAGAAATGCCATGGTGCATTGGGTTGGCGCCACAGTGCGGGAGGAGTTCCAGCAGCTCGTTGACAAAGAAGCCGATGAAGCTGCTACGTTTTCAATGTAACTGCCTTGGGCCAACAATTAATTCCAACCATGAAATGCAAGCACCGCCCTTGTACAGGGTTTTCCAGTTCATGCCAGAAGTGCAGCTGTTCGGGAGTTTGTACAGAAGGCCTGGCCATACAATGTATGAGTCTCAGCCATTACAGATTTAAGCAGAGCGAGGCCCCCTCGTATTCGGCTTCTCCTGGACGCAGAAGCTCCCTGCAATTGTTTCTGAGTCATGCCGCCTTCTGCGCTGGCTAGCCGCAGCAAAGCCTCGAGCTACAACAGTCGGTCGTGTTGAGCGCAGGGCTTCGCTTTGACGACCGTGTAGCGCACTTGGGGTTTGAGGCTCCGGGAGCTCCTGAGGAACGGCGCTGAAGAGAAACTAATCAACCTGGCTCTCGTGAACAAGAAACGGCTTTGAGTTAGATGGGCGGGGATGATGGGCCTGGCTTGGTGGCGGCTTGCCCTTTTAATTCTGATGGCGCGCGTGGGGACGTGGATCTCGTGAATTCTCGCGGGATTTCGTTGAAGATGCGGGCTGGGAAGATATAGGGGCTTCAAAATTGGGCAGAATCTGGGTGATGCTCGCGTGTAGAACCTCGGTATGCCATGGTGTGCCGTCGCTTGGAGGACCCGTCAGTTTTTGGCAAATGTTGGTGTGCTGGCGACAGCAGGAATCAGATCGAGACCTTCTGGAAGGAGGAAAGGATTAGCTGATCGCCATCTGCCGCAGCTTCAACACTGTTGCGTTGTCGAAAGTCATGGGCATACCGGCATACCGCAGCACGCATGTTTGGGGCGTTTTGACTGTTTATCGTGGGTGTTTGAAGATCGCGGGCCGAGCAGGTTCGAGCTTTTGTTGTCAAGGTTTCTTTGCTGGTCATGAAGCGCACACACACACACACAAGATGTTCAGTTTGTGCGGATCCGCTTCCGAATGCTCGAAAGCTGCCTGGGCTGCCCAGGACTTGACTGTGCGCGAACTCTCGGCTCACAGCAAGTGTGCGGTGTTGCCATCATCCAGCTCCTGAAACCTGCCTCGTGCTTGCACAGTGCCATGGCCGTGTGCAAACCCTTCGTCATTGCGCTGTTGGCCTATGCTTCTCGGATGGTGGCCGGTGGGCCTCTGAGCAACTTGCTGGCGGACTTGACGGGCCAGAACAGCCACCACAACGCCACGTGCCTTTCCGATACTCATGAGGGCAGTGCTCATGTGTGTGGCATGGCATCCAGCTTCACGGCTTTCTTCCCTGATGCAGCCTCGCACCAGTCTGATCATTTCCTTCCCGAGATCTCGACCCAATCCGTGTCCGGACCTCATGACTCCCATCATGGCGATCACATGGATCAGTTTGACCAGCAGTCGCTGCTGACGGGAAAACGCCCAAAGATGTTCGTGAGCTTCAACAAGAAGGAGTGAGGGATGCGCCTGAGAGTAGCCGGTAGCAGTCATCAAGCTTCATGTGTGCCACATTGGGCGATCCTCATGCTAGGCCGTAATGTGATGGCGGGGTTTTGTGGCACCATGTGGGGAAATTCGTCACGGAGCTATCTGTGACGCTTGCAGCAGCGTTGGGAACACTGACCGCATATCGTGTTGCATGTGCCTTCACCACTACTTGAACAAGCCACACTCCAGTTCCCACAGCGGTAACGCTGTTGCGCTGTTTCGACAATGATGTCTGACAAGCCTGCTTCTTCTCTAGCATCCACACTGGAAGCTAAATGGCATGGGAATGAGCACCATGCACCGTAGTATAACGCATCACTTGCATTAGCTCTGCGTGGGTATGTTTGTTTTTGCTTTTTGTTGATATATGTGAGCCACATGATGTGATGATAATTGCTGAGCGCGTTGGCCTGTGGAGTCCCCTTCAAGGCTGAGCGGAGCTTTTGCACACAAGGGTTCAAGCATGTTCCACTGGTCTCAGCACTGAAGCAAAACGGATCGCAAGTTCCGAAGCGGTACAAGAGCATCCATTCGGTCTGATCCAGGCAAGCAAAGGGAAGACCAGGGACTTCACTCTGCAACAGTGTGCGTGAACTCTTGGCTCAGAGCAAGTGTGCGGTGTTGCCATAATCCAGCTCCTGAAACCTGCCTCGTGCTTGCACAGTGCCATGGCCGTGTGCAAACCCTTCGTCATTGCGCTGTTGGCCTATGCTTCTCGGATGGTGGCCGGTGGGCCTCTGAGCAACTTGCTGGCGGACTTGACGGGCCAGAACAGCCACCACAACGCCACGTGCCTTTCCGATACTCATGAGGGCAGTGCTCATGTGTGTGGCATGGCATCCAGCTTCACGGCTTTCTTCCCTGATGCAGCCTCGCACCAGTCTGATCATTTCCTTCCCGAGATCTCGACCCAATCCGTGTCCGGACCTCATGACTCCCATCATGGCGATCACATGGATCAGTTTGACCAGCAGTCGCTGCTGACGGGAAAACGCCCAAAGATGTTCGTGAGCTTCGAAAAGAAGGAGTGAGGGATGCGCCTGAGAGTAGCCGGTAGCAGTCATCAAGCTTCATGTGTGCCACATTGGGCGATCCTCATATTAAACAGGCCGTACTGTGATGGCGGGGTTTTGTGGCACCATGTGGGGAAATTCGTCACGGAGCTATCTGTGACGCTTGCAGCAGCGTTGGGAACACTGACCGCATATCGTGTTGCATGTGCCTTCACCACTACTTGAACATGCCACACTCCAGTTCCCACAGCGGTTACGCTGTTGCGCTGTTTCGACAATGATGTCTGACAAGCCTGCTTCTTCTCTAGCATCCACACTGGAAGCTAAATGGCATGGGAATGAGCACCATGCACCGTAGTATAACGCATCGCTTGCATTAGCTCTGCGTGGGTATGTTTGTTTTTGCTTTTTGTTGATATATGTGAGCCACATGATGTGATGATAATTGCTGAGCGCGTTGGCCTGTGGAGTCCCCTTCAAGGCTGAGCGGAGCTTTTGCACGGAAAGGTTTCATCACCACTGCCGGTGCCAGAACCCAGCAGTACAAAAGCGTCCTTACGGTCTGCTTCAGGTATTGCTTGCTGAGAGAAGACTCTGACCTCAGCAATCCTGTAGGGTTTGAAGACATGCGGTGCGGTCTGAGACGACATTCACTAGGTTTGTTGCTTCGTCGATACGTGTATGTAATGATCATATATAGGAAGACTGTTGATGGTCAAAATGGTATTCGTAGGCACGATATTCATTGCGCTGCGAAAAAGTGCCCCACGCCCCGTAGGCCTGAGATGGACATGAACTTGCCAGCAACAGCTGATAGGTTTCTGATCTCACGTGGCTCCATCTGCCGCATGTCAGCTCAAACGTCTCCGGCTCCATGGCACTCTCCAGCAGGGTTGCCGAGAACACTCGCATTGCAAGCTGTGATATCTGCACACTCCGTCATGCCATGCTGTCAAAATTCCCTTGCTTGTGCAGCGGTGTTCGGCTTGGGCAGTGAAGACCCCGCATCCGCAGTGAGCGTGGTCACCGCCGTAGGCACCGTAGGCTTCAATGCAGAGAGGTATGGCAAGGCATATGAATGTGTATCATGGGTGATGGTAGTATGGTCAAGAGATGTCAAGAGGCTTTCAAAACGCAGGCAGCGGTCCACATTTCACTCCGCATCCTCTCCCAAGTCTATGTGGGAAAAGCGGCACTCCAAGTAGCGGAAATCGAGACCTCTTTAGTCATTCAAGCCCTTGAGTAGGCCAAGACCTTCAAGGCCCTCAAGGCTTTCAAGGGCTTTCAGCAAGAGCGGGGAAGTAGTTGCGAAAGCTCCTTTCCGAGCTCGTTATGGCGTGGTTTTGCTAACCCTCTCGGGCCTCACCAAACTGGCCAGCGGAGCAACTTTCCTGTCAACACGGCGTATGGGGGGCAGAATACACATGGTCGCGCACACCGCTGCATGAAAAGCTTTTCTTCTGAGGTGTCAGTGGCGCCACCATGCTGCGGGCTCGGAGCCACCGTGTGGCAGTGCCCTTGCTGGCCAGAAGCCCGGCTGTCTGAGATGGCTTGTGAGTGCTTTGCTCAAACCGGAGCGCCAGAAATTCTAGGCCTCTAGGCACCAGGTACAAGGAGATCACGACTTTGGCCAAGGCACTGGCAGCTGCCATCATGGCCTGTCTTTCCGTGGCCAAAAGCTTGGCCTTCACCGGCTCCCCGTCCATGACTCTGCTGAAGGGTGAGGAGTCCGGGGGCCTTCACTGATGTCCCACGTGTGTTATCTTGAGTGGGCCGTGATTGGGTGCCATGTGCGCAGGAGGCTGGAAGTGCTCCCCCGAGTCCACGGGAGTTCCACTTGCAGTGCAGGGTGGCATCTCATGACACTACCCCGAAGTAGCATGAGTGCACGACCTGCCCAGGACTTGTCCAAGTCTCCATGGGACAGTCTATCCAAGGGCCATGCAAGAGAAAGGCCTGGCAGGGCCATGAGCGCGCAGGAAGAGAGCTGTGCATTTCCCATCATGTCTCCCTTGCGCTTCTGAGGTGAAAAGGAGTCCTGTTCAGCCATGGTTTAAATCGGCGAAGATGAAGCAGGCGGCACGATCTCAGGCCGCGCGCTCCGGGCACTTCAGGCTTCTCAAAATTTGCAATCGTTAAGGCAGTTTGAGGGTTTAAAGACTGTTCTCAAAATTCACGAGCACCAGCATGAAATCGGAAGAGGACTCACGGCACCAGTAATAGGCTAAATGTGTGGCAGCGTGAGCTTTCTGACCCTTCTCCCGTGCAGCTCCAAGCTTCAGACCACTCCCTACTTCAACGGTTCGTGGCTTGGAAGATGTAGGCCCTGTAGGCCAGGTTCGGCATCTGTCCTTTCGAAAAAGGCATGCATGAACTGCAGGAGTGCGGATTCGAGGACCAAGCATAAACAATTTTGAGAAGTCATGCATTTCAGTAACAACGAACGAACGCGAGAGCGAGAGAAAAGAAGAGAGCGAGAGAGCGAGAGAGCGAGAGAGCGAGAGAGCGAGAGAGCGAGAGCGAGAGAGCGAGAGAGCGAGAGAGCGAAAAGGAAGGAGGTTGGGGGAATAGGGTTACTGTAGCGGCAACACGTCTCGCCTTCGCAAGAACGCACCAAAGTTTCTTGGAGCGGCCCCCAACACAGGGAGGGAGAGAGGGAGGGAGGGAGGGAGGAAGGGAGGACGGGAGGGGGGGGGGAGAGGGAGGGGAAACTCCCCGAACTCCGGAACGCAGATAGTCCTTTCACCTAGGCCTGGTCCCTCAGTGTTGAACTGCCCAAAGCAGGCACGGGATGCGCAAACCCCAACCCCAGCCACAGAGCTGGATCTGCACATCCTCGCACGACAACCAGGCAGATGTTCTCTCACAGAGAGGGAGAGAAAGAGAGAGAGACAGAGAGAGAGAGAGCGAGAGAACGTGGGGGGCCCAACTGCGAGGGGCTTCGTCCCCAGGCCCCATGAAAGAAGGAAAGGAAGGAAGAAAGAAAGAGAGCCTTTTGCGCTGCAGTCACCGGCATCCCGTCGAGGCTCGTAAGAACGCTGCCGAGCAAGGCAAAGGCTTTAGACGGCCAATGCAGTGGCCGGCTGCAACCCCAGCGCGTTGCCGCGTGCTGACGCGTACTGATCATTGTGTAGTGTGCCGTCTTTATTAGGGCTGCTGCCATGAAGGCAGACATCCCAGACGGAGTCACTCTCCTTCATCTTGAGTATGACGTCGCGCGGGCTCTTCAGCACCGGGGTGTGGTATGAAGAGCCGTCGCGGTATCCTGCGAGCCTGTTGATCATGAGGCCGCAAGACGACGCTGAACGCGAAGCCGCACGAGTGCCAGCCGCCTGTGATCTTCGCACGATTCCATATCTCCCCTGCCACGGTCTGTTGCTGAAGGTCATGGGGCACATTTCCCACCACAGGAAACCAGGCAAGATTTCATCGTTCTAGCACATTGACCGACATGTGACGAGATTTAGTGAGCCGCAGGAAGTGGAGGACTTCATCCGCAAAGTTCACAAGACCTTCGGTCCCAAGGCCCGGTTGGAAAAGGAAAAGCAAAGAAAAGAGATGGGCCGGAGGCTTTTGTTGCGCCCTTGTCCTTTGCAGGTTCGGGTGGCGATGAATGAGCCCAGGGTTATGAAGGACTCGAAGCCTTGTTAAGACCCAAAAACCACCCTACGGCCCCCCCCCCCCCCCCCCCAAAGAGCTCATAAACCCGCAGAAGCCTGGTACCAAAGAACGGGTCATTGACACTCACAGGAGCTTTTGCCTGAGGGCGAGAGACTCTGGTACCGCAAGGGTTCTTTCGAGGCACGGCTTCCCACAAGCACTGGCATATACTATCACTGGCATGTAGATCGCAAGCTCTGGCATTGCCTGCTGGGTACTACCAAGGTGGTGAATCTCAACACCGGAAAGCTCCTGTTCTCGAAGCTGCAGACTGGCGTCTCGCTTGTCCACCAGGCCCTGACCCTGTCGAACAGTTGCGGGCTTTAGCTGTGTTGAGCTGTGCATGGGGAGAATGAAGCACAACGATTCTTCCTCCAAGAGTGCGATGGAGTCCTGTAGAGTCCCCTAATGAGAGCCCCCCGATGGAGCGCAGGAGTGGTGGGATTTCTTTGCGAACAAGGTGAAGGCAGAGATGGCAGCTGCGTGAATGCTGCCCGGATGTGTCACCGCAATGAACAGCCTGCTTCCTGTACTTCCTGTACTTCATAGTGTAAAGCTATGAAAAGGTCTAACGCAATGGTACATGTACACAGCAGCATCAGCATCCACAACTGCCCTTGTCAGCCTGAGCCGCCCTTAGCCCTAAGTTGGTAATTTTCGCCGCTGTTCGCACGAGCTCTGAGCCAAAAACCATTTGCCGCCTCTGCTGGTCGAAGAGCAGGCAAGGCTCTGACATGTAGATACCAGAGGCACAAGGGGACATGTTATTGATGTGACCCGTGGGATGCTTGATCGCAAGATGTTTTATGGCACAGCGCAACATGACAGCACGAGAAGATTGCAACTTGCAGCGGACAGAATCTGACAACAAACTTGCACTCACTCTGGCACGCTGGCGAGAGTAGATGCTCATGGCTGACGGCTAAACAGTCAAACAAGCTCAATGCAAAGACTCATCTTTCCTAGTTGGAGATGCAGCCCTAGCTATGGAGAGACCACCTCCTCTGGAGGAAGTCGATAGTGGATGCCTTTGTGCATTCAGAGAGCCCGCCAGTACATCAAATGGGGGCTGATCAAAATTCTGGGCCCTTTTGAATTGTTGTTCTTGGGGGGGGGGGGGGGGGGACTCCTTTAGACAATATTCAATATTCCCTATAGTTCATATTTCTGCTTCCAAAAAGGGCCCATACTTTTGTTGATCAAGCCCCCAAGCCCGAAGCAAAGCCTCTGTTTTCCCTGGTTTGAAAAGGTCTGAAGGCCTTGCCGGCCTTGCCCCTTGCCCTTTCGGAGTCGAAGTCCGCTGGGTGGCTGCCGAAGATTCGGCCCCTGTCAGGGGCAGTGCCCTCAGCTTCTCCGATTGCACCTTGCTCAGGAAGGGAAGAATTGCCATTATGGGCTGCACGAGGTGTCAGCATTGAGACTTCATGCGCAGACCATGTACTTCAACACCCCGAAGCTGGAGGCTTAGTGACAAGAAGCCCTTGTGGGAGCAGGCGATGTAAGTCGTGCTTCTTGTAAGTCATGCCGTTGCTTGCTGAGGCATGTGACTACTGCGACCAGTCCATCCAATGGCATGGAGGCGTCATTGACCGCTTACTGTTGCTGCTGTGGATGCTGTCGGTGTGATGCTCCAGGAGTGGATGTTTACAGATGGTTGGGGGGGGACCCCCTCAAGATTCACGCAGGTGGGAGCGCGGAAGAAGCTCAAAAAAGCCCCCCCCCACTTTAAACTTAACTTTGAAGACATCCGCAGGCTTCCACCCTCAGGCCAGACATGGCCAGCCCTGGCCCCGCACAGGACTTACTGACTTGGTGCTTTTGGTGCTTTGCTGGTGGCTTCACCATGTCAGGGGACGGAATAGGACTTGGAGACAGAAGTTGTGCTGAGTTGTGCGAATGAGAGCCGGATGTCCTTGTCCAGGCCCTTCGAAAATCCAAGCGCGCTTCTCAGCAGTGTTCTATCCGTCCAGGTAGACATTTTAAAACAATATTTCAAAGGCTTTCACCCCTGGTCTGACTCTGGTGTGGTCTGCCGGCCCCGTGGTCCTTGGACCGCTCTCTTAAGGCTGCTTTTGGTCTTCTGATCCCTGGATCTGGTGCCCCTCAAAGCCGAAAAGCCAGCCTTGACCAATTTGTGCCCTTGAACATCTAGAATGGCAGCTTCGCCAACATCTGAACTTGAGCCATGTTTCATGTTCAACATAAAGGCTCGAGCCCCACCTTCAAGCCTTGTATAAGACAAGGGCGAGCTACGCCTCTCCGCTCTCCGCTTGTTTGCTTACCTTCGTGGCATTGGGTGTCACTCACTTCCCAAGGTCTGACAGTGCTTTGCACGGGCTATCTCCTAAAGCTTCGTCTGCAAATGTGCCCAGCTGAGCTCACGATGCGGAAAAGAACTCTCGACGGACTGGGACTATGGACTGGGACTATGCCTTTGCCAGGTACGCGCTGGAGGTACCATATTCGGCCTTACACGTGCTCATCGGTCTGGGGCCGTCGTTTCAGGTCCTGGTGCAATGAATCAGCTCGATTTGGTTTCGCCTGTGGTCATTGCAGGAAGGACCGACTTCGTGGATCAGGCCAGAGGGCAGCCGAAGCAGCTGCACAGCATCCGCATGTTTGGATGCAAAGGGCAAGCTTGTCAAAGACATCGACAAGCTGACCACAGCCTTGGGTGAGGTGAAGAATCTCTTCGAGGCTTGGACTAGGAAATATCATATATCTAGCATTTGGATCTGAGAATGGTGTTTACGGTAAAAAGGCCTTGAGTGCAGCCCTGCAGCCTCGGAGGGTTTTGATCCTCGACGTTCTCCAAAGAATAAGCCCACCTTCAGTGGCATGCTCAGCCTGCTCCAGCCTGCTCAGCCGTGGACTCGTGGACTGAGATGTTAGGCCTGCCCTGAGCGTGTCTAAGGTGATCTACTGGCAGGAGGGAAGGCTCAGAAGGAGGGAGCAGAAGGCTGCATGATTTCTGCATCATTCTGCATCCCTCCGTGGCAGAAGAACATAATTCGGCTTTCTGAGAATCTGAGAATCGTTGAGAGGTGAAGCCGATGATGGGGACGAAGCGCTGAGGGAAGCCCAGGAGCGCCTTGCTGAGCGGCTCCAGGCGCCAAGCACTTTTTCATACACCCTATACTACTGTAATTCCTAGTGTATATATATATATATATTACTACTGTAATTCCTAGTAAGGTATATGAACCATAAACCCTTTTGGGGTTCGCCACTTCTCAACCGGCTGGCTTTGTCGTACTTAGACGCTTAGGGGGTGCTTATGCAAGGTGCTTAGAGGGTACCTCTTTTTTTCTGCCTTTGCGCAATCTACGCGGCAGGCGTATAAGTACACGCGGCGCATCGAACCTGAGCTGCCTCCATTGGCCCACGTCTCAGCTCCAGATGTGTTTTCGTGTGCTCTTGGCAGTGAAAAATCTTGCAAGAGTTTTTGAGGCCACGGGGGCCATGGCCTTGTTTTGGCAGTAGGCTCTTAGATGCCAAGCTGGTCCTAAATTTCTAGAGGTTTGCGAAGGGAATTTGGCCGGGGGGGGGGGGGGGGGGGGGGGGGGCAGGGCGTTCCCTGGGAAGCAAGGACTTCCATGATGTCAATGATGTGAGGTGAGAGGGTTGAGAGCTAGGTCCACTTAGCGCTCCTTGTCTAATGCCTTGCCTGTCAGCAATGGCATCCTTGTGCACTCTGTGACACATCAGCATGCAACAGCATGCATCGGATTTTTTAACCACAAGGCTTTCTGCGAGTCTAACTAAATCGTGCCGTTGCGACGATTGGCTTCTGCCTGTGAGTGACTTAAGCGACGTCCTTCGAAGCTGGGAGTTTGAGAGTTCGAACACGGTCGAGCTCGAGTGTTTCAGAGATTGCGGAAATCGAAAGCTCGAGAATTTCGAGTTCGAAGTTTGCGCGAATGTGAGCCGCATTCAAGCTCCGAAATGTCAAACTTTGAGCCCCTTCTAAGTGATACCGGAAAGGCGATCTCACAACCCCATTGTTGCTTCGGTGCTCCGTCCTGGTACATGGCTTTGGCTTCGTGCCGTTCCTGTCCGTTGTGCTTCGACTGCTTCTCGGCATTGCTGCCTCCAAACTATTGAAAAGACGGCAGTGCCTCCTTGTGACGGGTGCACACATGGCAACACAATGGGAACCAAACTTGCTACAAACGTGACATTGCTTCGCTCAAGTCAGCACCTTTGCTTAGGCGCCGCTGCCTTCAAGTGGCCTAGAAGCGAGGCACAAAAGCCCAGCGAATTGGGCCTGAAACACGGTTCTGACGCTCTGAAGCGCCACTGCGTTGCTCTCAGGAAGCCCTCGCAAACTCTGGTGGTTCGCAACACCACTCCCGAGGCGGGGACTGTGGGGCTGGTCAGAATGCTTCAAAATCCTTATTAGGGTTTTAGGTTTAGGGTTTAGGGTTTAGGATTTCGGGCGTTTCGTTTTCTGCATGTTTGCTCTGAGAGGCCATTCGGATATGGTTGCCAGCGAATCGCAAAGAACGAATCGCAGCCTTTGCAGAGGACCTCGTGATGTGATATCCTGTGATTCTCAAATCTAATTCTGCTTTCTAGCTCGAGTGAGCCCTTCAATTTCTGGTGATTTTGAGGAAAGGTCGTACCGTCTAGACCTTAGTCAGCCTGCAAGCAGGTGTGGCGTAGACAAGCTCAGAGAGGCTCAGCCACAAGCCACAACAACCCACACATCGAAGGCCGACGCTTGTATCAAAGTCAACGTGAGCGGATGGTGGAGGCATTTGTCTCAGTGCCTGACGCGTCATCTGCGGTTTCACAAAGCCATTCCTTTTGACAGGAAGCTGCGGATGCGTTGAAGGAGGTTCCTAGAGTCAAAGGATCACTGCTGCTGGTTCTGGGCAAACCACATGCTGTGCAGGAGTTGGTTCGCAAGGAGCAACAGGCAAAGCAAGCAGCAGAGGGCTCAGTGAAATCTCTAGAACTTGCGAAAGTTGAACCCTTGTGGGTGTCTCGGTTGTCGGCTTCCCCAGCTTCCCCACAAGGTGGAGGGCCGCAAGCTGCAGGCAAAGCTGAAATCCGAAAGCAGGCACACCACACCTGAAAATATCACCATAAGCCCATGCAAACCCGATTGCTTCCTACTGTACAGCTTTTCAACTTGATGCTGACAAGGGACTTTCCCGCAGCAAAGTGGTTCACGCCGGCCACTCAAGTGTCTGAACACTGAAGACTATCATGCCAAGCCATGCTGCCACTCCTCCAGGCTCATTTGGGCTGCCGGGTTCCTGCGGCAGATCCAGCAGGAAAGCTTCTTGGTAAGAGCTCGGCGTAGCCTGTTCGATATCGGATGTTCAGGATGAAAAGCAAAGAAAAGTTCCGGTGCTGGAGCGTGGAGGGCTCAGAATGCGCAGCTTCCCTGATTGGACAACTGCCACATTCAGCAAACAGTGCCCCGGAGTGGAGGGGTGACTACTACCCGGGTATAAAAATAAAATAAGGGCAGGGCAGTTGCACTCCCTGGGGTTCGTCCTCAGGTTGTGCTCCGGGAGTATGAAGGGATCAGTAACAACATACTTGTAGCATGAACAGTACACCCTTAGGTGTCGAGTACCTGAAGCAGAACGCGGACAATCTGCTGGTGAAGAGGCGTGACATGCCCTGCTTGCACAGGCCATACAGCCACAAGAGGCTTGTGACATCGTGACATTCCTCCTCAGGTCCAAACTCACCGCTCCACAGATGAAGGAGGAGAACAGCCGAACGCAGATCCATGCGGATCCTTCCCGATGCAAAGCGCCCTTTGCATTGCCAGGCCATGAGGATGGAGACAGTTGTCCAAAGTCCTGCTGTGTCGAGGCCGGTTTGGTTATGTGGCTTACGTGCCAGCGCTACTTGAGGATGCTTGCTTTCTGGACGGGTGCAGTTGCACTGACAGATATTCACAGACAGTACTTGTAGCAGCTCACGCCTGAGCCAATGCTTCGGAAGGGGACCGGTGCCAAAGGGGTAGTTTTGTGTTCTGAAGTCGTGGGGCATTGCCTCTGCTCGGCAAAGCAGAAGACCGGAAGGGATCAGCAGGCTACAAGTAGCACTTCAGCCGAGTTTCGTCGTCGCACGGAACCAGTCTCATATGTATTGTTGCATCTGCTGTGGTTTCATGCTGTCGGATGCTGGTCAGAAGCCATGGCATAGATGTCAAGCTCATGGGACATGGGCAGGTTGTTCACCAGCTACGTGGCTTCCATGAAGGTACGGCTGCACCCTCCACCTTCCACCATCGCACAGCATTGATTGTATGGATTCCTTAGTGCTGTTTTCCGTTGGTTTCCATTAAACCTGGCTGCTGAGTGGTCTGGACAGTGAGCCAAAGCAATTGCAAGGTCTGCCGTGCTGCATGTCGCAGGTAGCTGAAATCAATGGTGCAGCTTGTTGTTCGGATCACGTAAATATGACAATGGCTTTTTGGGATTAGCATTTCTTGTGATTTTGCCTAGGGCTGTTGAGATTCTGCAGCTGCCTAGGGCCTAGAGTCTAGAGGATAGCTCAGCTCGATACAAAGCATGCCGGCCGCCAGATGAAGCGAAACATCATGAAAGCCAAAGCCAACGCAAAGAAAGCCTGCGACCAAGACCACTAAGCCGCACTAGCGTCATCCTCGCTGAGTATCTTGGCACGCCTGTTTCATGCGGGCCTCCGAGGTGTACCAGGCTTTGCGCAGCTGGCAGGCAGCGCATAGTGACGTTTTGTGTAAAGGTCTTGTGTGCAGATCCCTGGTAGCATTGGTGATGTCATCCTTGGAAAGGTTGCCGGTCGTGTTATCTTCGCACTCAAGTGCCGTGGCCATGATTAAGCCAGAACTCAGTTCTGACCCCTAAACATTTTGCATGTGCTTACTGATTGTGGCTAGTTTGTGCACGTACGTTTCCCAAGCGCATTGTGTAAGTCTGGTATAGTCTGGTGCTGTCAGTTTCCTGGGTTAGCGATCTGTTCTATATTGCTCAGCAATGTATGATCCATGCACTGAGGAATGTTGCATTCCAGGCAGGTTGCCAGGGGCGTCACAGCATTGTCACGATAGAGATCCAAGCCCAAGCAGCTTGATAGTGTTCTGCTCGTCAGGCAAGAAAGCTACAAAGATTTTGGAGGGCATGCGCAGCGCCAGAGACCAAATTGCTTCTCTATTTCCTCATAGAAGTTTCAGTGAACGCAGAAAATTGTGGCTGCTAGCCCTAAACCCTATAAACCCTAAACCGTGACCCCTTGGCCGCCTCAGCCGCTGCGAGGCGCCTGCGAGAACAAAGGGATCGACTTGCGCAGCGCATGGGCCCTATGAGATCGGCGACTCATAGTACCGGCTTTGAACTCGTGCTCTGAGCTTCAATGAGCCCACATCTAGGCTGGGAAAAGCTGGAGCGCCACGAGCTGTCCCAGGAGCTTTCCAAGGTGCTCGCTTGCAAGAGAAGCGCAGCCAGAATTGAAGTCGAGTTTATATAGACACCAACAGCAAGTGTCCTCAACATTTCCAGACCACAGACCTGTACAACTGCTTGTGCTTGCCAGTGGGAACGACCCGCCGGCCAGCGGAACTCCAATGCTTCGGGCTTACACGGCTAACACATCACACTTTCCACGGACCTTTTGCCAGAATTTCGACCTCGCTAGAGGCGTGCTTGACATTGGAAGACAAAATCTCCATTGAGCTCACGCCGAAGGTTTCGAGGGCTTGTCTCTTCTGAACAAGCATAATTGTATACCAATTGTATACTCTGCTAACCCATACCGTAGCAATCAAGGCGGTTCGGCTGACCTTCCTGGAGAATGAACTCAGGGCGAGAAGATACTTCTTGCAACTCGACAGCATCATCATCTCCTCGATTCCTCGGGGTATCTCGGGGTAGATGAGTCAGTCATGTCGTGTTGGCGGATGTGCCTGTGCCGATGTGGGTTTTCCGAGCACGGCAGCGTTCCTGCAAGTCGCGGAATTTCCATATGAATGAAAGTTGACATCAGGCTGCCCGCGATCGCGAACTGGGAGCAGGAGTGCCTCAAGTGGAACGCGGAATATGCCGCGCACGGTGCTTAGAGCATGGCACAGGAGAGGGTTTCGATGCGGAAAATTTGTCAGCGGACTTTCCCCCATACCTCAGGCGCTTGGAGACCAAGCGAGCCTACCAAGCGTGCAGCTCCCAGAATGCCGAAGACTTCCTTGTGAATCCTGACAAGTCCTTTTCAGAGCTTTCGCTTTGTTAAGTATGAAGTGACCACTTCCCAGGATCCCTCAAGCTCTGTGCCTTTGGTTCTTCTTGTCTGAAATCTCCGGCATCTGTTGCTAAGGCTGGGACAAGAAGAAGGGCCTGCCTCTCTGGAAGCATGTGTGCACCGCATGCGTTGGATATTCTTGGAGCTCTCGTCTAGGTTCATGGAGAAGCCAGAGCATGCCTTTTCTTTTCCACCAAGCCGACCTATGCATTTGCCGCCGGCACATCCTCTGGGTGAGGTGCGCCCGGGACTCTACCCATGGGACCATGTGTGAGAGCTGCGTAGGACAGGCAACCTTGAAGCAGCTTCTCAGCACCCTAAACCCTAAATCCTAAACCCTAAACCCTAAACCCTAGAGAAGCCACCTTCATAGTGCGTGAGACCGCAGGCAGCAAGGGGTGCTATTTGCTCCCTCGGCTGTCCCGGGAGAAGAGGTGACGAGGCCGACCTTTCCATGTGGGGGAGGGTAACCTGCTGGGCGCCAAATTGCGGGCCCTTTTGGGTATATTACATCCTTGTAGCTCAGGAGGCCGAAAAAGGCCCAAAAGGCCCAAAAAAGGCCCAGGCCCCTGCACTCGGGACAGGAGATCCTCGAGATGTGGCGGCGGTGCCGGCAAGATCCCACTGGCTGGAAGAAAGTTCCCAGGCCGACCCTAAACCCTAAACCCTAAAGATCACTTCCCTCAAAACTACACAATGTGGCTCTCGGTCAGGACCGGCGCAAAGGACTTCATCATGAAGAAGACGAAGACCGACCGTAGTCAAGCTGAGGACACTGCCTCCCATTGCATCACTTGTTCCTGAGGGTCCGCGTGGACGAGAGGCCTTCTTGGCCGTGCTTGACCTAATTGTGCACATTTAGTATATTCTAGTATCCTGCGTCGGGAGCTGAATGCAGGAGAAGATCTTGTCGCACGCCGGGCTGGTTAGCCTCACGGGGGCATTCGAATTGGCGAACTGACCTGGGCTTGCACGCAAATCTTCGCGCTCTAACCTAGCTAGCCCTAGGATGTCTGTAAGAATCGGTTGTCTGGCCCATAGCTGTCGAGCCCGTAGTTGCTGTGTGTTCATTGCGTGCGAGCACTCTGGTGGTTCTAGGCTTGGCTTGGAACCAGATTGTATGGCAGGCTTGACGAGCTGCTCGAAAATGACAAGGTGGCGCGTGCATTGCAATTTCCATCAAGCTCCCGTTAGAGCTGCGGACTGTTGGGCCGGATGGTGTTTGTAGGTTGGCATAGTTTGGCAGTTTGGTCATGTGCAAGGACAAGGACTTTGGCGACGCGCCGGATGCAGAAGCGCGGCTCGGCGCAAGTCTGCGTGTCATGCGAGCATGCCGAAGTGCCCGGAATGCTAGATTATCAGAACACTTTGTAAGTGTCTGAATGCGAGCCACCAGGAGAATCTATGGCGTGGATGATTCGTTGATGCCAGGCTTGCTGCTCATTGCTCCCTCTAGCATCCCAACATGTTGCAACCCCGAGCTTACAGTTTACACCACCAAGCAGTCCATTCTGGATGGAGATGAGAGCGGCAAACAAATAGATTCGTTGACCTAGATGACAGCTGCTCGTCCACACATGACAGGCGGCCAACCGCCGTCGGAGAACGAACCATGCCCGGTTTCGCTGCCATGCTAAATCTACGTGAGGTGTATTGTAGGTATGAGGACATAGGGACTGATCTCTTCAAACACACTGTAAATAGAGAGGGCTTCTTGCATGACGGAAGTTGTTCCGTTTGTTCGGAGCTGTTGCCGAAGGCAACGCTCAACTTAGACCTTGACTCTCTCACGTGTCAAGCCTAGATGAGGCCTGCATCGATGGCAAGGTTATTGGTGTCACAACTGTGCTGGCGTCAGTTCGAAGAACTTGCCAGCTGGCCGTTTGGACAAGATCCCAGCTGGTTGAAGCCATTAATTCCGTGCGTTCATTTCGCGAGTGCAAAATGACCAGAAGACTGAGTGCAGAGATTCCTTGGGGGCATTTCTCCAAGTTGAAGCACAGACGGTCACTGAGCGGCCGACCTATAGTGTTGCCCACCCAAGGCATAGCGCATGCCTTCGATTTTTAGATAGCTCGTAGAACATGGTCATCGGGCCAGCATGGACCCGGGGCGAAATCGAGAAGCCAGCTGGGACCAAGAACATGGGTAGCTGGACTGCCGCGGTAGCGAGCTCGACATTTCCGCAATCAATCCAAGCACATGCAAAGTTCAATCGATGACACAGCCACGCGCTCTCTAATGCTGAGGTCTACACTCCAGAGCAACAAGCTCGCTTAGGCAACCGCGCTGCTGTTGCGACAAGTTGCGACATGTTTCAATCGATGAGCAGATATTGCTATAGCGCATGCTAGCGCGCATTGGCTTGGAAATCTGCCAAACAGTCCACAAGTTTGTCTAAGCGCATTCAGCTGGTTCTTGGAAGAAGGTGTGGACGAGTCGGGCAACAAGGTGGCCGATCTGGCCCAGGTGGGCGCAGCTCTACCGTCTCTGGTGTCAGTTGTTGCAGCTGGCAAGCACACGTTGCTGGCGCATGCGAGGCTGCAGCTCCTCCTAAGCTATGCGGGGCCATCGGGCCAGCTTGGACCCGGGGCGAAATCGAAAAACCGGCTGGGACCAAGAACATGGGCAGCTGGACTGCCGCAGCAGCGACCTCGACGTTTCCGCAATGAATCGAACCACTTGCGCAAATCAAGCGATGACACAGACAAGATTTCCCCAGATTTCGCCTATCCTGAGGTCTACACTCCAGAGCAACAAGCTCGCTTAGGCGCCCTCGCTGCCACTCTCACGGGCCATTTCCACGAGTTGGAGTCTGCAGTAGACGTGCAGATGTTGCCAGAGCGCATGCTAGCGTCTAGAGCGTGTGGTGGCTTGGAAATCTGCCGAACATTCCACAAGTTTGTCTAAGTGCATTCAGCTCGCTCTTGGAAGAAGGTGTGGACGAGTCGGGCAACAAGGTTCCCGATCTGGCCAAGGCGGGCGTAGCTCTACCGTCTCTTGTGTCAGTTGTTGTAGCTGGCAAGCGCACGTTGCTGGCGCATGCGAGGCTGCAGCTCCTCCGCAGCTGCCGAAGCTCGGGGCCATATGCGGGGCCATCGGGCCAGCTTGGACCCGGGGCGAAATCGAAAAACCGGCTGGGACCAAGAACATGGGCAGCTGGACTGCCGCAGCAGCGACCTCGACGTTTCCGCAATGAATCGAACCACTTGCGCAAATCAAGCGATGACACAGACAAGATTTCCCCATATTTCCCCTATCCTGAGGTCTACACTCCAGAGCAACAAGCTCGCTTAGGCGCCCTCGCTGCCACTCTCAGGGGCCATTTCCACGAGTTGTGGTCTGCAGTACTCGTGCAGATGTTGCTGTTGCACATGCTAGCGTGTATTGGCTTGGAATCTGCCGCACATTCCACAAGTTTGTCTAAGTGCATTCAGCTGGCTCTTGCAAGAAGGTGTGGACGAGTCGGGCAACAAGGTTCCCGATCTGGCCGAGGTGGGCGCAGCTCTACCGTCTCTTGTGTCAGTTGTTGCAGCTGGCAAGCACACGTTGCTGGTGCATGCGAGGCTGCAGCTCCTCCTAAGCTATGCGGGGCCATCGGGCCAGCTTGGACCCGGGGCGAAATCGAAAAACCGGCTGGGACCAAGAACATGGGCAGCTGGACTGCCGCAGCAGCGACCTCGACATTTCCGCAATGAATCGAAGCTCTTGCACAAATCAAGCGATGACACAGACCCGATCTCCCCTATCCTGAGGTTTACACTCCAGAGCAACAAGCTCGCTTAGGCGCCCTCGCTTCCACTTTCCCCATTTCCACACACAATTGGAATGCACATGTTGCTCTTGATGCGAGCGTGTGTTGGCTTGGAAAACCGCCGTCCATGCTAAACACCCGCCTTTTGCCAGTAGAGTAAGGCTAGCGCAAGTGGGTGCAAAGGCGGGCGCAAGGGCTAGTGCAGCGACAGTGTCTTTTCTGCGGAGAAACAAGGGTTTTGCTTTGTGGCTTTAGAGTTTAGTCTGTCAGCTGGGCGTGGCGCGCCCAAGGGTGGCGCAAGGGACGCGCAAGGCTGGCGCAAGACAGCATGGCCGATGTGGAGTCATGAGCCTTAGTAGAGGATCTTCGGAGGTGGGCAGCCAGAGGTTTCCCATGAAGCAGGAAGATAAAACATGGAAAGCTCCGCTAGGGACAGCTTTGACAGCCGTCCAAGCCCGGGATGTGTAGAGCAAGGTTTGTGATTTGAGGGCCCTACCAAGTTTTGTAATTGGCGTGTGCTTGCTGGCATGGCCAAACACTAACACAGCGCAAGGCTGCGCAAGGCGGCGCAAGGGCAAGGTGCAAGGGAAACCTACGGCTTTAGGCTTAAACACAAGAGTTTAGAACAACATCCCCTTCCACGACAAGTTCGTCTAAGTGCATTCAGCTGGCTCTTGGAAGAAGGTGTGGACGAGTCTGGCAAGAAGGTGGCCGATCTGGCCAAGGTGCGCGCAGCTCTACCGTCGCTTGCGTCAGTTGTTGCAGCTGGCAAGCACACGTTGCTGGCGCATGCGAGGCTGCAGCTCCTCCTAAGCTATGCGGGGCCATCGGGCCAGCTTGGACCCGGGGCGAAATCGAAAAACCGGCTGGGACCAAGAACATGGGCAGCTGGACTGCCGCAGCAGCGACCTCGACATTTCCGCAATGAATCGAAGCTCTTGCACAAATCAAGCGATGACACAGACCCGATCTCCCCTATCCTGAGGTTTACACTCCAGAGCAACAAGCTCGCTTAGGCGCCCTCGCTTCCACTTTTCCCATTTCCACATAGAATCGGGGTCCGCAGTAGGCGTCCAGATGTTGCTAGCGCCTGCTACATTGGCTTGGAAATCTGCCGATTATTCAACAAGGTTCGTCTAAGTCCATTCAGCTGGCTCTTGGACGAAGGTGTGGACGAGTTTGGCAAGAAAGTGGCCGATCCGGCCAAGGTGCGCGCAGCTCTACCGTCTCTTGTGTCAGTTGTTGCAGCTGGCATGTGCATGTTGCCGGCACATCCGAGGCTGCAGCTCCTCCGAAGCTCGGGGCCACACTCGGGTCCATTGGGCCAGCTTGGACCCGGGGCGAAATCGAAAAGCCGGCTGGGACCAAGACCATGGACACCTTCGCAGGTAGCTGGACTGCTGCAGCAGCGACCTCGACATTTCCGCAACGGATCGAAGCTCTTGCATAGAACAACCGATGACACGTGATGACACAGACGCGCTCTCCCTAATCCAAAGGTCTACACTCCAGAGCAACAAGCTCGCTTAGGCACACGCGCTCCAGTGATGGAGTCTGCGGTAGTTAGGGTGTGCCATTGCGGCTACCGTATGCCAGCATGCACTGGCTTGGAGAACTGCTGAACATTCAACAAGTTCGTCTAAGTGCATTCAGCTGGCGCTTGGAAGAAGGTGTGGACGAGTCGGGCAACAAGGTTCCCGATCTGGCCAAGGCGCGCGCAACTCTACCGTCTCTTGTGTCAGTTGTTGCAACTGGCAAGCGCACGTTGCTGGCGCATGCGAGGCTGCAGCTCCTCCTAAGCTATGCGGGGCCATCGGGCCAGCTTGGACCCGGGGCGAAATCGAAAAACCGGCTGGTACCAAGAACATGGGCAGCTGGACTGCCGCAGCAGCGACCTCAGTTTGCAGACTTCCGACCTGTAAGCTATGAGTGTACACACACGCCCGCCATGGCTCCAAATGGTGCTTGCTTGTGGTACCTTTGACACACTGAGCTTGCCAGAGAGAGGCGAAGCTGTTGAGAGAGAAAACTCCCCTACTTTATAGAAAATGCTTATTGCAAAGGCAGCAGTGACAGTTTGCATTGTCTGATGTGAACTCAACTGACGGCGATGCAACGATGGGGAGAGCTGCATTCGTGCAAGGAAACACTGAACAAGAGTGCTGCACCATGCAAGACCTCCAACTTAAGGTGTACACAGAAGAGCAGCAAGCTCGCTTAGGCGGTGTCGGGAATGTGGTGGGGGCACACATCTTGTAGCAGAGAAGCAAAAGGAAGCATCGCGCAAGCAATGTGGAAGCAGGTGTTGACGAAGAGGGAAAACCGGTCGCGAAGAAAGCCAAGGCCATATTCCCATCACTTAAGAAATGGCAGACCTGTGACGAAGCAGGCGTCGTCGCCTGCAGATACTCCTCTGCTGCGCTCTCATCTACCGGCTGTTTATACACGAATTGTTCACTGGCTAACCCCGCTTTGCTTGCACGAACCTTCGCCTGCTCCAGGTCTCCAGAGTGGCTCGGCATATTTCCCCTCCAGTGGGTGTTTGGGCTTGTGACTGAAGTGCAGTCTGAGGCAATTTCTATTCACTTGCGCTGGCACTGCAGGTACATCGCTGCTTTGATGATGTCCGACAAGCTCTTCGCTGACCTGTGCAAGTCCCGCCCTCGACATTCAGCACCGCCTCGCACAGGTTTCGGGCTAACTAAGAGTTTGTGCTGGAACCTGCGCAGCTCTCCGCTGGCCAACAAGGAAACATTTTCGCAAGTACGACACGAACAAAGACGGACTCATGGAGCTGCGAGCTCGGTTATTATGAAGCTCTCCCTGTTTGCATCAAATCGTGGCCGTTCGGTTCGAGATCGTGGGGATTGCTTGGGGGGAGGGAGGAGGCGGGTGCCTTTCAGAAGTGCAATGCCTGGGAATGCCTTTTTCCAGGGACATCTTAGAGACAAAAGTCTGGAAGGGGAGTCCAGATAATCTGATTCCAGGGTAAAGGGCGGGTAAAAATAAAAGACCATGCTTCCCAGGGCTCTCTCCTGTGGCCGAATTCTTTCACGTTGCCGTACAGTATCCACGTCCTGGTTGGGGGAGGTTGACCCCATTCCCTTTCGAGGAGCGAAGCAATGCTTACATATGCCAAAACAGGCTCGATGATGCTCACCATTTCAAACGACCCTAGGGAAAGCCACATGGAAATACCCCCCTCGCAGATGCATTAAGGACCCCTTAGGTCTTGGGGAGGGGGACCGGCTCAAGACCCCGTAAGGACTGCTGAGACCATTCCTCCGAGCCTGGGGCACCACATTGACGACCTTCAGGGGACTTCACTCCTCTAAAAGACCGAGCGGAAAAAGTGGCCCAGCCCCAAAAACAGGACCGTATTTGCTTGGAGTCCTCGTATGAAGCAACTGCCAAAGTGTACGTCGCCAAAAAAAGTGCGTTCTCCTCATCCCTTGGAGTGGCTTCGGCTCAAAAGGCCACGGGCTCCAAAGTATTGAGGGTCCTCGTCGACAGGCGGAAGATCAAAAGACATCTCGGAAGGATCCTTCTTTTCAACCTTAAGCACATACGTTCGAACATCGCAATCGTGCAGCGTTTGCAGGTTCACCCACGCGTTTGCAAAGTTTGTGCGAGTAGGCAGTCTGCGCACCCATAAGGCTGGACGAGACCACGAAACTCTGCCAGGACTTGCATAACAGCTTCAAGCTCAGAAGCAACGTGCATCAAATCTGCTTGAGCGAGACCTCCTGCTTATATTCCAGACACGTGACAGGCATGGGGCTGCCCGTTGATGAAGAGAGCATCAAGGTTCGACGTCGACGGTTTCTGCATCTTCTGTCAAGTGCTTCGGCCAAGTTCGACCAGGCAGCCACTGAGTCCACCAAGCAGTTTGCTGAAGGTGCGATGCTCGAGTTGTTCTTTCCTTCTGGCTTTGACTTCACGAACAGGAGAAGACAAGAGCACTCTTTCTGAGGAGGCACCAAACCTAAGATGGCGTGCAGAAAATTTGTGGGCGTTCTTGCCTGGCAGCAGCGGCGAGGAGTTCGCGCGCTGGTTCCGGGAACTCTTGAAGGTTCAACTCTTCCCAAATGTTGACATCACGTACTTTCTTCTGTCAGCATGCGCAGCCGGCTCCAGCCAGGAGAGCATCGGCAAACACGTGGAGAAGCAGGTCCCATTGTCAGTTCCTTACGCCGTACACCCATACGCCCAAGACACACGAGCATTCGTCGACGGGCCTTTGTGGGAAGCTACAAATTAAAACAACAAGGAGGGACGCTCAGGACAGGAATATGCTTTCGCGAAAGTGCTGCAATAGCACCCCGAAAAGAGCGTTATTGCCGGCAGGTTTTTTCGGCTCAGGTTCTTGGCAGACTGCCTGAGTGGCTCGGCACGAGTGTGCTGTTTCGGTATTTCGTGGCGTGCAATGTCTCTTGGGCATGTTTGGTGTTTCCCATCCTGCCCACATCCTTTTCGTTAGTCGCCGCGAGCTTGAAAGGAACAGTTAGCAAGTCAGAAATGCTGAGAGCTAAGATCCACAATCCCCGAACCATATGGGATCTCCACGCTGCGGTTTTGCATATGCTCGTGTGAGGGGGGGGTTCTTCTCGCTCGATTGCCCATACAGAGGGTTTGTTTGACGTCTGAACAACAAGTTAACCCAGGTGATGCACAGGAGCTGCCGCTGGTCACATGTCGCATGAGTTCTCCAAAAGTAGCCGTGAAGAAGGTCATTTCCCGATTAAGGAATTGGATCAACACCCGACGCCTTTGTCTCTGAAAGCTTGTGTGGGACTGTGTGACCAAGGCCAAAGATGGAGATGCTCACCGTGAAGGCCGGGGCCCCGTTTGAGCGCACCCTTGAGCGCGGAGTGATCATCCAATATCTGATTGAAATCCTACAAGTCGTGTGTTTCGGCTTCTGAGGTGAAGTCCCTGGGCGGCACGGAGAAGGAGGTCGAGGCTGGGATGCGAATTAGTATGAAGCCTCAAGGCAGCTGCATTTGATTTAAGCTCGGTTGCTGCGTGTTGACTGTGCAGGGATTGTTGTCAGGTCCCTAAACAAGGTTTGAGTCAAGAGGAGGGGTAGGGGTTCGGGGGTTGGGGCAGGGGGTTTGCCTTGAAGTTGGCCTTGTAGCGCAGGTGGGGGTTTACGAAAATACGGGACCCCTAATATAAAACCCCAACCTTTAGGATCCCCTTAGAATAAGGACCCCCAATACGGTACCCCTAATATCGTAAACCCCCAAGTCCGGTGCTGCTTCACAGTTTCAAAGCGAAGCTCCGAAGCTTTGATTTGTGGAAGGGTTTACAGTTTAGGTTAGGGTTTAGGGTTTAGGGTGAGAAGCCGTGTGCCGGAGGTCCCAGCCGACTGCACCGTGTCGATGCTGGCAGAAGCTGCAGCCGCGGAGCTGGATCTGCCCTATGCGCAAACGAAGATCTCCGTCAACGGAGAGGCTCCCAATAAAACGAACCCAACTTTAGGGTTTAGGGTTATAGGGTTTAGGGTTTAGGGTTTAGGGTTTGCAGCAGAGAGCGTGCTGAGTACTGACCGACGAGCTTTTTGGGGAGAGGTGGTGCCGGACTCCGCATTGCCTGCTGCCCAGCTCTTTCACAAAAAGCACGTTTTACAAGAATGGCGCAGTTTCACTGAGCTGTCGATACCCCGACTCAGGCTCTCCAGCTTAGAGCTGGGTTCGGACCCCGAAGTGACCGCGGTGGTCATGGACACCATCAAGGCGCCCACCACGCAGCCTCTTATGACTCTTCTGCCGTAGTTTCCATAGCCAGTGCTTCCCAGTTCATCTCCAATGCATATGATCTCTAGGTCCGACGACATGTGTACAACATGCCTGGGGCTCACAGAAGCGGTTGTGCCAGGAGTGCTGTCGCTTGTGGCTGCTATGGAATGTACTGTTTTGGAGCGCACTGAGCCCATGCATGCCCATGTGTTTCTGCAAGAGGCGGTTAAGGAATATCTTGATTTGGCTCAGGCGTGGAGGTGGTCCAGAGAGACGCGGCTACGCACTGCTTGCCACAGATGAGGCGGGCTCCTCTTCGTCCATGAAGGTCTCGCAGAATGCGCCACACCATGCAGGTTGAGTTACCCCCAAGAGCAAAGCTAGCGGATCACTTGGACAAGCTGGCCCCAGACACAGTGGGACTTGCACAGGTCGCCCTGGTCTGCATGAGTTTGTCATAGTTTGTATGAGGTCCCACAGGAAGGATATTCGCACAGACGGCCAGAGGAGTTCGACTTGAAGGCCTGAAGCCTAACGCGGCAGTGCAACTGCAGGGATGGACGACTCGTGGGAGACGGCATGCTTGAAGATGTGCTTGCTTTTTAAGGCTTTTCAAGCCACTCCCAGTTCGCAAGTGCCCAAGAAATGGCAAGGCGGAATGAACGAGGCCAGCCATGAAGCTTGCACTAAGGTATAGTAATGTATAGTAGGGTTCTGCGTTACGTTGACTCATCTTATACCAGGTGGATGTGGATCTCGACGCCACTGCTGAACAAGTCTTCGGGGTTGACGGACACGCCGCGTGCACAGAGCGGTAAGGCAAGCGGCATCAGTAAGACAGAAATGCCAGGAAGTAGACTGCGAGCTCATTGCAAGTTCAACCCAGTCGGAGGGTTCTTTAAACAGAAGAAGACGAATGTCTGGCACATGCTCTCGATGGCTGAGGTCGAGCTTTCGGTGCTGGTGCCCATGCGAGGGCTTGACTAGCTCTCTGATTGAGCTCTGGCGGTGGTAGTACAGCAAAAGTATGACCAAGTGCCGCACACAGCATCCACTTCATACTCCCAGCCCTGGAAAGTTTTGGCATTGCTAAGGTCTCATAATGTATTCGCGTTGCAGGAGGGCTACGTAGCAGCTCCAGATTGGTTCCAGCATCTGAACCCGCAGTGTGCGCAGATGATGGAAAAACCTGCAGGGGTGCTGTGCGAGCTTATGCCATGACAGCGTCTGCTTCGCCCATCTTCGCCCGCGTGTGCGTTAGATGCCGCGCTGATTTCGACGAAGCGTGGAGCTCAAGGGGCACTAGACACATAGACCTTGCATATGTAAAATCGGCCCCATTAGGCCGCGAGGCCGATGCTCATGTTGTGGAGAGCCTCAGCAGCTGGGCGATGTGTGGCAGCGGCCCAAAGATCGGTGAACTCTCGCGCATTCTCTTCTCGAGCGCTGATACCGGTCACTGAAGTCCGCAAGGGCATGTATATAAAGATCGAGGACAAGTACGGTGAGGTGAAGGTGTTTCATCCTCACAAGCAGGGCCGAGGAGCCGCATCTTATAACGTGACCTACGACGAGCTAGACACGGGCAAGGAGCGGCTGCACAAATTCACAGCATCGTCCAAGGTCACGAGGATAGAGCCGGACAGGGAAGAGTGCCAAGTTCTGTATACAAAAGGATCTGGAAAAGAAGAGAAAATCGTGGTACTTGCGGATGCTGAGTACAACGAGGTGGAGGTTCCTCTTGCATACTTCCAGGGCCACTCCAGCGTGCCAGATGGTGCGACAGCTACACTCTACAAGGATGACAACGACATCATCAAAATCGTCTTGAAGTCCTAGGGCCCGAGGCGGTGTGAGGCCCCAACAATTTTCAGCAGTTGCACCGACTACCCACATGGGGGCAGCGGCTGGTCCAAAACCATGCTGGCGCCACTGCGGGATGGTTGTTGTGAGCGGTGAAGTATGGTGAAGTGCTTGTCTTGCATGTTGCATGCAGCGTGGCGGGATTCCGGGATGGGCTTGGAGAGTGTCTTTTCCTACGCATGACTCATGCGCTTTTCTTCCTGTCTTAGCTTCGAGCACGGAGAAATGACACTGATGGAAAGCAGCAGCGCAGGTGGGTGAGGTCCCCCGAAGTCAGCCACAGCCTAACGCCATGGCTGGAATGGTCCCGGAAGCTCGAAGCGAGGATGCAGGACACCCTTAACACCAACAAAAGAAAAGCGAGAAGACTTCAGATTCCCATGATGCCACGCAGGCCTCTTCCCGAAGTTGTTCGAGCTCATTGACTCAGGAAGCCAGGCGTGGAGGGTCGAGTGAACACACAAGAAGTAGGGACCTGCGTCTGCGCTTCGGAAAAGTCATTTAAGTTTCGCACTCCTGCCAGGCTTCTGTGCTCGACATGCTCGACGACAAATTTGGAGGAGATCTGTCATGGGTCGCTACGGCTAAGGCTGAGCTAAGGTTTGCAAGTGGAGTTCTTTGTGCAATGGGGTTTACTTCCTTCCGAGGAGATCCCAACGTAGCGGATGAAGCAGCAGGAACAACACCGCTGATTGCTGCAGCCAGGGAAGGCAAAGTGGAAATTGTACAAGCCCTAATGGACAAGACGGCAGATCTAATGAAAACGGATCTGGATGGCGACAGCCCGCTGATGGTCGCTATTTCTCAAAACCACATGCAAGTGGTGCCTTGCCTGCATGAACCATTCCTGAACATGGCGTGCACATGCTTATACATGCCCTAAACCCTAAACCCTAAACCCTAAACCCTAAACCCTAAACCCTAAACCCTAAACCCTAAACCCTAAACCCTAAACCTAAGCCCTAAACCCTAAACCCTAGCATGTTTGGAGCTGATCCGGCTGGCTTGGATGATCGATGCGGTGAGGTGCAGATGTTTCTGAAAGCAGATCGAGGCAGGCCTTTCACCGCCCACCCTCCCCAAGCCTGAAGCGGGCCCTCATCCCATATTCCGACTTCCCTTACAAGTAGCTTCCGAAGCTCGGCGAAAGTGTGAACCCAAGAAATATCTTGAAGCAACATCGCAAGCACAGAACCCTTTGCCCCCCGAGGGCTGCTGCTGGTGCCTTCGAAAGAGTGATGCGTAAAGTGTTTGCAGTGTCGGTGTCGGTCATGCATGCCGCGCGTCCATCCCAACGTTGCTTGAGACAGGCGTTGACGTGGATGCCTCCAACAAGATAGGGCAAACTCCACTGATGAAGGCCTCTGGCAAGCTCTTGTAGGTTGTAGGCGGTAGACTTAGACGACAGTGGTCTTCGCACATTGTCGTCGCGTAAGATATCATGTAGGCGGCCAACAAGGCCAACGTCGAATGTGCTCGGGACTTAGCCTATCAACTCCCATCAAATCCTCTATCGCGATGGCAGTCCACCTGCTTCAAATCCGTCACCTTCAGGTCAAGGTTCTGCTGGAAAGCCGAGGCAATCCCAATGCAAAGCGTGGCCCTCGGATTAGCTAAGGCAAATTAAGGCAATGTTCCTGGAACCGAGGCTTGGGACCCTGCAAAGTCTCAAAGTGCCCCAATGGGGCCAATGTGGCTAAGGACCAAATTTGGAAAGACCGCACTTATGCTGGCAGCGGAGAAAAGCAGCCTGGATTCTGCAGCAGCTTTGCTGATGCTTGGCTGCATCCAGGGTGTGTTGTGGGCATGCTATACACTCACGACTACTTTTGGAGAAATTGGAGAGCTTAATCTTCCCATACACTTCAGGGACGCTGGGGCAGACATTGCCATGGCGGATGACAGGGGCTTCACTGCATTGAGTCTCATCCGCAAGATCTCGAGCAGGGGTAAACACGTGTCTGGCACAGACGACTTGATGATTGTACCATTACCCATATGTTTATATTGTTACATTGTTACGTCATATTAATACATGAGTATATTGTTATGCTGTCTTGTTGGATTGTTATATTGTGTTACTATAGTCGTTTATTTTTAGAGTATCTATATTATCGATGATTGCAGTACTCTATGATTATATTGCTACATTAATATACTGATATGCTGTTACGTTTATTTTATATGGGTATGGTTTACATTTTCGACTACACTGCACGTTACTAAAATATTCTTATATGTTGTATTTTATATTCCTATATTCTCATATTGGTATGTTCGTATAATCATAGGTTTTTCAAAGGTGTATATATATATATATATTACATACTATATATGTACGTCTGTCTGTATGTATGTATGTACCATTATCTTTGGATATTCTTACATCAATATATTAGTAAATCCGTATATTCTTATATTCCCAAAATGGGCAACCAAGGTTTCCAGCAGCTTTTCGCTGCGATGTGCCCATGTTGGGGATGCTGCTGACCTCGAAAGCAGATGCTACGAAGAAAGCGCAGCCGGGAACTGCGCTCATGATGGTGCGCTCCGTGCTGGGGAGATTGAGTGTGCTGGGGGCTTCATGTCACCGCCCCCCTTCCCCCTCCCTACCCCCCCCCCTAGCCCCGCTCCCCTACCCACCCCCTACCCCCCCCCCCCTTACCAACCCCCCTCCCCTGGGTTGAAAAAGATGTGTCAGCAAACTGGTGTGTTGCTCGCATCCCCCAGCCCAAGGACTAACAACTCAAATAACTTTAGAATTGCTATGGCTTTTAGTGAAATACGGGCGCTTGTGGAAACATGAGCTGCCTCATTCTGGTTGTTTGCATCCTTGCGGTTTTATGAACAACGCGGCAATGCGTTTGTTTTTTCCCACCTGTCAGGTGAGGGTTGTTAGATTTATGTGAGCCTCACCCCGCCTCGTCCTCCTCCGCCGCCTCCTCCTCCTCGTCGTCAACCGCGACCATCCGCGCCAGCGTTGCCCGCCGGAGCCCACCGCGACCATCCGCGCCCAGCGTTGCCCCGCCAGACCCCAACCGCAACCATCCGCGCCACAACGAGCGTGATGTCAGTCTGGCTGTTTGGAGATGTCATGGTGGGGATTAGGTATTCGAAGTAAGGCATATAATTTCTGTTTCATTGCCAGCTTAAGATGCAGACTGCTTGTTGAAAGCCATCTCTATACTGCTTTAGGGTTCGTAGTTTCATAGCAATCATTGGCCCACATGTTTCCCAAGTTACAGGCAGTGGAATCACCATCTTTCAAGCCCGAGTCGGTGAAGCTGCTTCTGGAGCATGGTTGCCCTCTCGATGAAGTGTCGATGGAGGGGGACACGGCCAGCAGCTGAGCGCGTTCCTGTGCTCGCGTGCTCACGTGATGAGACAGCTGGTTCTCTGCTGTTGGCAGGCGCTGATGAAGTCGGTGGAGGAAAACAACGCAAGAGCCTTACAACTTGGCACGAGCTTGTGTCAATCTGGGGCAGGAAGTGCGAGCTTGATGCAGTCACGCTCCTTTGCAAGGCCGATGCCATCGCTGCCCTGCTCGCGGCTAAAGCGGACGCAACTAAAAGCAACAAGGACCCTGTATTCTCATGTCTATAGGAGTCTATAAGAGGCTGTAGAGTGCTCGTCGCTCCCTCCAAGCACCTGTGAGGAGGGCAAGACAGCACTTGATTTGGCCCGAGAGAGAGGCCTCAAAGGTATCGAGGAGCCGCTCGGATTTGTGTAGCCACGAACAGTGCCGTCTGCTGGTTTTCAACCCCTGTTCTCCTGACAAAGGCTGCTCGCCGCGGCGAGCCCTTGAGACTATATACTACAATTTTGCAGCCTTGTGTCGCACGTGTCGCTGAGAAAAGCCGCGGGCAATGCAAGTGCAGTTCATGCCTTGCTTCACCTCTTTTAATGTTGCCTGCGGCAAGCAGCCATGGATGATGGTAGCATTGCCGCTGCTTCGCTGCTTTGCTTGGCTTGCAGGGATGACCATGGAGGTATTCGGTTTGCACGTGCCCTTCAGTTATAGCCAATGCCATCCAGTCGTCTTTGGTTTGTAGAGCACTTAAGTGGTGGCAGAACTCAATCGAGATTGCGAAGCTACACACGCAGAAATCCCTTCAACGGGCCTGGGCTGTTCTGCCCGCAACCTGTCAGGCAGTCGCAGGCCCTACTAAAAGCCTGGTCTGCACATAGATACAGAAGATTACAGAAGCTAGAATTCACCCACACGTGCGTCACGTGGGACCCTTTCGACATGAATCGGTCTGCAGCCCATGCTGTATTGCGTGAAGGTTGAGCCGCATGAGCCGCAATGTGGTTCGCATTGCGTATGCCTAAGGTCAGATGCAAAGAACAAGCGAATGCAAGTGATGCTTGAAAACTCAGCAACATACTCTGCCACAGCCTCGGCCGAGTAACTTGAGTAGCCATTGCCAGTGGCCATCCATTCCTGCGGACCCTAAACCCTAAACCTTAAACTCTAAACCGCAGTGAAAGAAGCAGACTGTAGCTTTGAGCTTTGAGGACGTCGAATTCCAGGTTGGCCCAGATGGCGAGAGCATTTTTGGTTTAAAGGCGCCTGGGTATCAAGAACAGCTGGTTGAACAGCTGTGTCGGCTCTAACTGGTTTTGTTTTTTCGCTGCGAGGCCATCTATGCTCGAGCTTCGGAGGTCTTCTCAAAGATGTTTTTTGAGGCAGGGTTTCGTGAACAGCACGAAACCTCTCCGCGCGTCGTGGTGGCATTCTCAGAATGGCACAGTGCCATATGCGGATTTTGCGCAGCGAACGTGTTTACAAGTGCAAGCTCTTGAGGTACGGGTTGAAGACATCATGCCGAAGTCGTTTCGACAGCTACATCGTTGGGTGTATGTCCAGTTCTCGGGGTCAGCAGCAGAACATCGCAAAACCTGAGAATTGCACTTGCGAAGTGTGGGAGTATCTGGTATGTGCTTGCTGTCAGGACATGGATGTGACTTTGACTTGGGATACCGTCTTTGGTATCCTCGATGCTGCTCGCAAGTACATGGTTGAGGACACCCCTGCAGAAGTTGCAAGCAGAACTTCAGCAAACCCTAAACCCCAAACCCCAAACCCTAAACCCTGAACTGCGCTGCTTTGAAGGACCTGGAGTTGCAGTGTAGGCGCTGGGTGGCCTTAGAGGCCAGAGAAGCAGCAGGGGCGGTAGGCAGGCGCCCCAGATGCAAAAACGCCTGGGTGACGCGACATGCCCCTGGAAATCCAGGATCTCATGGTCACGGTGCCTTGACTGTACGACGCTGGTGAGGTCTCTTCTCTGCTGCAGCAGCTGGGCAGCGTGGAACCTGGCGCTGTACAAGCACAAAGGAGAGTAATCCTGCCACTCCGGCTTCCTCAGATGCGCTCGGAAACAGGTGGTTTCAATGGTCGCAAGCGCTGCGCAGCCGGGTGGGCCTCCTAAGCCATCTGCACAGTGCCCGAACGACACTGGTACATGCAAGGCCTGAATTGCCATGTTGCAAGCCGACCAACGCAATGGAAGTTCGCCAATCCTTTCCGCCTCAGTCATCGGGCCGCTGGCGAGCCCAAAAACTGACAGCAGCAGAGAAAAGAAAGGGGTGGGTGGGAGGGCTTTCAGAATTTACGGTGTACGGGTTTGGGGTTTCATGTCACAGCGGCTGAAGCTGGGCCGCTTCGAGAAAGCACAGGCCACCCTGAAGGACGTTTCGCCACCAACCTCGACAGCACAAGAATTTTGCTGGCAAGGCAACTTGGACCCCGAGCTGAAAGGAAGACGGGTTGCTTGGATCGCTGGGGACTAGGTTTTCGCAGCTTGTCTCTCCTTATCTCTCCTGACGTGGAGTCGGCATGTTCCCTTCGTCCCCGCAGTGACAGACGGGGTTTTCGGAGCATGTCAGCCCTCATCTCCCTTGTCTTTTTTGGTCTCCCTTTCTTAGGTGTGGATGGTGAGGTTTTCGGTGTGGGGCCGGTGTGGATGTGGAATGCCGGGTCTTTCGGAGTTTGTCTCCGCTTCTCTCCCTGCGGTTCCGTCCATGCGGGGGTCGGTGAGGGGCGGTGTGGACTGAAGGGCTTGTAACGAATAGCTGCCAGCATGCGAAACGAAATACGACCAGTTCGGCCGGCAAGAGGCCACCACAATGCATTGGCCACGGGAAAGACTCAAACACTCAGGCTTGGAGAAGGCCGTCCCAATTTCTGCCTGAAGCGGTCTGTGAGTGGATTCGTTGAGGTGGCCCCCAGATCGATCAGCTAAGTTCTTCAGACGAGGATTTCGCTGAAAGCTCTCGTTCGTTTGCTGCGCATGTTTCGGGCAAAACAGGACTTCGACTGTCTGGTGTTTTCCACGGGGGTGTTGATTCGCCATGGCGAAGTGTGAGAGGTCGATCAGCGACATCAGTGACAAGTGACTGCTTACTCGGGGGCTGCTTGAGGTGGAGTCATTTGGAGCAGCTGCTTTAGCGGCTTGTCCAGAGGACCGTGTAGTTGAATATTGTTTATCGTTGCTGCATGGTACTGCAACTTCTGGGAAAGGCCATCCGGCAGCTGCCCACTGATACCTTCATGGAAGTTCTCACAAGCGAGGACCCTCGAATTTACCTGGACTTGTGTGAGCCAATGTTGTGTTGATTTGCACCGACTTTTGCATCCATGTTTGAGACGAGCAAGCCAGGATTTGTGCGTGGCGAAGGAGGAGGACGTTTTCGAGGCCGTTCAGGCGGGCGACAGTTCTGCAGTGACAAGTGTGGCTTCCTTCGAATCATCACAATGTCTGTGTGAAAAAGTCTCAACATATCTTGACGAGTTTCGTTGCCGACAGGCCTGGGCCGCTGCTGCAGACGAGCGCGGCGAGGATCACGTGCTGAAACCGAAAGTCCAGGGAAGAGGGGACCCCGGAGGGGCCAAGGGGGGCTCTTGGTGCTGGATCATCTGCAGGATCCGGCAGCAGCGTGGCAGAAGATGGCTGAATCTGACGTCATTCATTTCCCTCTGTTGGACATGAGGCGCGGATCATCACCGATGCAATGCCATGAGAAGTCTGAATCAGTCCGAAGAGTTGCGTACGCCAGAAGCTTTCTTGAAGGTTTTTTGCAGAGAAAGTCGTTTTGCTGCGCACTTACATCTGGGAGCCCGAAACAGGAAGCTACTTGCTGTCCAGCGTGACTTTGTGTCTCTTTGCGTTCCTTGCTGGAGCTATCCATGTCATCAACACAACCTTTCCAGACACGCTTCTGCTTGACAGGCAACATCGTTTGCCACAGGAGCGAGAGTTTTCGGTAAATCTGCTTGTGTATTGAAAGCTAGCCTGAAGTCTCCTTGCTCAGGAGCAAAGCCTGTTGGTCTTTGTATCCAAAGCAATGGGTAGCTATCCGGCTCGACAAGCGAGCCTGCTGGCAAGGCGAGTGACGTTGGCACATGCCGAAGCCATAAACTGGGCCATGTGACACTGCCACCGTTAACTTGTCGAGTCTCAAACCGTTGCTAGGGCTTCTGTGCCAGATGCAAGGAAGTAACAGTACTCAGTATGACAGCCAAGTTCTGGGCACGGCATGAGACATGAGTGTTTTGCGCGGAGAGGCTACAATTGATACTTCGTGACTGCAGTGCCGAGGATTGCTCATGGCCCGCGTGTCTTATCGCTTAGCATCCTTGCCGTCCTGACAACTGCAGGATGCAACATCGATTATTGACAACATCCTCGAGTTCAGGCACGTGACGTGGCGTCCAGCATCTTGGTGGCCTGTGCGGGTTCTTGCGTCCAGGCAAGAGAACACCTACCCCCAAACACTTGCTCACTGCCTTGTACAGAAAGCTGAATCCTCAGAAGACGCACAAGTGAAAGCGGTACGTTCCGTCAGTAGGCTTCATCTTACAAAGTCTTACAACCTTGCCGAGTCTTCTTAGAGGCTTTGGCTGATTACGAGCACTGCAGCGAGCCCTTGGCTTACTGCGATCCGACAAAGCGCCTCCATTTTTCCGGGGTGATGCCCAAATATGCCCAAGGTGGGTCAGCATGTGGACCGAGCTGTGGGGTGCCCTCAGGGCTGAAGGCCTTCGAGATGAATGTGACCGTGACTCAGCAGTGTGCTGCTCGTCTGAGCACCTTGATCTGTTGCTACATGTTGCTACTCTCTTTCAGGTTCGTGCTACAGTTGACTATTGTGGCAGCCTTGTGGTGACTGCGCATTAGAGTGTGGGAGCTATGATTTGTATGGTTCATGCACCCTGTGTTCTCCACCTCCCATGGTTCTGGGAGCCACTTTTTCGGCATGATGTGAGGGACGGTCTGACAGTCTTGTGGTGCAAATTCTTTTTAAGGCTTTAAGGAGGCTGCGAGCCTCTTGAGATACTCAGAGATCCGCCCAAAAGGTTCTTCGCTCAAAGGCCGCTGACCCCCTCGCAGAGGGCGCCTGTGTTTATCTGTGAGCAAAGTCTTCGGCTCAGTCCTCAGAGCTTCTAAGGTCAGAACCTTTTTGAAGAAGATCCTTCGCCAGAAAATTTGATTGGTGTTTGGATTTGCCCATACGCTGTCGCCTCAGCGCTGTAGTGACTGCACCCGTCGCAAGCAAAGCCCAGCACCATCAGGTGCATACGACAACCATGCTATGAGCACTCTTGAGGGAGGTGATTGCCTTCGCTTGCCGAGGATACCCTTGGGCTTGTTCGAGTTTGGACCCCAGCCGTAGCCCATGCTGAAGGAAGGTGCCAGATTTCACAGCACTCAGGTCCTTTGCAAACTCAACGACTCTAGAAAGCTTGCCGTGTTACCGCTGATCAAAGTGCTAGAAGCCCTTGTCCTCGCCTCAAGCCGTCACTCGCCCTGTTGAGCGAATCTTCTGCCCATGCAGCCAAGGTTCGTAAAGCTGAGGATTCAGCACCGCAAGGTGGCTGCACTTGCGACCCGGTTTCTGCGGCACGGGCCTTGATGTTTAGCGGCCGTAGATTCCTGTCACTTCTCCTGTTGCACGATCTGTGTACTTGTGTTGCTTCCTGTGTGCCCAAGATCCCAGGCCACTGAGCTAGCTGCGCACCTTGACAAGGCCTGGCATGTGCAGCGTTCGAAATCTAAGTTGCGCATGAAGCTCCATCCAGCGCGAAGCTGCCAGATTCGATCCCGAAATGGGCATTTGACAGCTCTGCAAAATTTGGGGAGCCTGCCGCAAGCTCGGTTCACTCGACATTTGTCTTGTCCATGCCACTAGTGCTTTGCGGGTTAAGCTGGCTTCTTAGGCAACAGCGGCTGGATGCCATGAGTGGGCACAGCAGGAAGAAGGACCGGATGCTTTCACCTGATCGTGAAGCATCAGCCTCACCCAGATCCTAGATGCCTGTCGTGGCTTCTCAGTTTTTCCGTGCTGAGTCTTGATGCGAGATGCCGGCGAACTGCACTGCATGGCAAAAATTCGGATGCTGAATCCACCCATACTGTGCGCTCACAGGGGGAAAGCTGCAGGAAGCTCTGGGCCCTCGCAATTCAGCTCGCTGTTTAGTAAACACGACTGACAAAAATAACTTTGGGCTCTTTGCGATGCCATGGACCTTTCTGCAGTTTCCGTTTCACTGGGAGCGCTGCCTTTGCATCATGCCAAGGCCCTAAGTTTTTTGTGCAGAAGCCAGAACATGCCCATGGCGAACGCCATGTTTGATGATGCCCAGCACCATGCCCAGCGACAGCGGATCGCTGAAAGAGTGGGATTTGGGGGTGCAGAGCTTTCCATCACTCGTATTTGGGAAGAGGGCGAAGGAGCGGTTTCGATACTTGCTGCCATTTTGTTGGCCGACAGCCGCCAGGTCGTCGCACACAGCCGGAGCATATGATATGCACATGAAGGCGTTGCGAGGAGGACCCTCAACAATTTAGCATGGACAAACAAATAGCAGCAATTGACAGCTCATATAAGCTAAACTCCAGCTATTGATCTGCTGAACTCAGATGTGATGTGAGATGCTAGGCTTCAGTGACAGAGGCATGATGCTGAAGAGCAGACCTGTTGAAGTTGTTCACTCACTCTCAGCCTAAGTCATGGCAGCATTTGTTGATGCCTCATCAGCTTGCTCCGCAGCAGATTACGTGTTTCAGACGTCGTCGTTCCGCCCTCAGAGCAGCAATGCCAAGTTGTGTAGAGAGGGCAAATGGTTGCAGGCGTTTTTTCAGAGGATGCTTGACACACGATGTTGCATGCCAGGCTCAGACCATTCTTGAATCATCCGGGCATAGACAAAGCAGGCGAGAGTCTGAGCTTGACGCTAAAGCTTGCTCAAGCAGGATATTTGGTACTTTCTTGGCTTGTTTGGCCAGGGACAGTGTTCCACAAGCCAGTGAACCCAGAACATGCCGTCAAGGAGAGACAGGCCCAAGCCTGAGCGTCACATGTGTCAGCTGTCGCAGCATTGAATTTTGATTGCGCATTTGTATTTGCGTTTGGGGACGTCTGATCGTGGCACTCAGGCTGCTGCCAGCCTGTCCCTGAGACCGTTCCACGCCCCTGCAAAGGCTGGCGTCTGGCAAATTCTCAATACCCAGTCTTCATGTGCAGTGACATCTGGCGGCAACGTCTGCTGCTGCATGCCGGGTGAGGACTCTGCGCCTTCGAGACCTGGCAAGTGCCGCACTCGTCCGCGAGGTGCCCTCAAGAGTCTCCCGAGGGACGCATGCGAAGGAAACCCTTCTGCGTGGCGCTGTTTGCAGGTCTGATGGCCAACAACTTTTCTCAGACAATGCCTCTGCCTTAGCACAAGCTTCTCGAGAGGCTCGCGTTGGGATGGGCTCGAAGGAGGTCCAGGAGGGCGGGACCCAACGCGTTGCGCACACTCACAATATCTCACAATGCCTAAATTAGGCGGCATCTCTGAGCTCTGGCTTAGTCACTTGATGCCATATGGATTATGGATCATGTCTCGCTGGTGTAGCTCATCGAAGCTCATCGAGGGAGGACCTACGGACGTACGACAAGCTCGCAATCCTCGTCTACAATGATGAAACATCCAGCAGTTAACGTAACTTGACGATCAGTACATGCTCTTGAGACTCCCTACCAAGGCCTCCGCCACGCCAATCCAAAGTCTCGGATGCCAACTGTCCGGCCACGAGCTTTGCCTGTGGAAGGACATTGTAGGACTCGTTGCAATCTGTGCTGCTGCCCCTCTTCTCTGTCCCACTTCCTGCTACCAAAATGATGTCTCACAAATATAAGTTTACCAAGCCACATGGTAATTGAGTTTTTGGCGTATGGTGACATTCCGGCGCTGGGGAAACATGAGCAGGTTCAGTTTCGTTGTTGTTAAAGATGCGTTTGAAACAAGAAGCAATGTCGTTTAATTTTGTTTCAGAGCCTGCTTAAGACGCCGATCCCTTTTCCACACCATCTTTGCACTGCTGTTGTCAGGAGATGTGGGAAGTTCGGGTTCATCGCTCCATAGTAAATCTAGCTGAGAAGGCGCAAGTGGGGGGAAATGTAGAGAATGGAAGACGCCGAACCCGAAGAGGAACGGGGCCAGCGGATGGGCGGCTCGCCGCCGCGCCACCAAAATGAAAAACAAGCACAGATGACCTTAGATGTTCACTGGCTTGGGAGAGGGGCCAACAGCAGCTCTATGTCGTGCTGACAGCGAGTGGGTCCAGGGAACGCTTTACACACTTAACAATTGTTCGATATAGTCAGAATCTTGGCAAAGATCAGGCAGGCTTGACAGGCGGCATGCGGGTGAGCATCGAACACTTACGTGATCTGCAGAGATTTTCTGGCGCCGAGGTGCAGATGTACATAGGCCGGGGAATTTCGAATCAGAGGTCTGTGCGATGAGCTCAAACCATGCTTCTGTCCGGGAGGCCAGCGAAGCTTTGGGGCAACGCACTCCAAAGAGCAGAATCGATTGGTGCGCGTGCGTGTGAGATTGGAGCTTAGAAGACGTGGGCGGTCAGGTGTTGATAAGATTGGCAGGCGTCTTCGGAGGATGATCTTGCTAGCGTGCAATTCCTCGAGGACTGGGGACTCTTTCGCATGCGTGGAAGTGGGGCAAGTTCGTGAGAAGAGATGCAGGAGCCAGACGATCCTCGAGTTGCAGTGCCAGCTCATCGGATAGGTGATGTGCCCTCGGCGAGAGTTGCTCCGGGATTACCTTTCGGAGAAAGCGGATATACAAGAAAGATAGAACTGACAGAACAAAACAAGAGAGAAGTTCTTCGAAGTTTCCCAGGAACCCGAGGGGAGGCTTCGCCCATACCTCGCGAGCGACAGGCGAGGGGGTGGCAAGCGGGGAGCAGAGGGTGCTGAAGCGGGAAAAGGGGCAAAAGGGGCTGATTGAAAGTTCAGAAGTTGCACAGAAGAATGAGAGAAGCGTCGAAGCCGCGAAGGTCGAAGAAGAAGCCTGGCCTGCCGAACCCGCACAGAGCATACGCGCCTGCACGTGCACATGCGCGCGTGTGAAGCATCGGAAACTTCGTCGGACTTGTGAGGCCCACGCTCTGCCTGACAGCGAAGCCGAAGCCACTCCACTCGAGCGCTCCCCTTCCTGCAAAAGGGCCGACGAAGCCGGTCTTGGCAAATGCAGGCAGTTGGGAATTTGGGAAGGTGCACGCAGAGCATGCGGTGCGCGCGAGGTACAGAGATGCGGCTGAATCTGCAGTATGTTGCCGCACCAATTGGCAGGTCTGCTGCAGTTCATGCTGCCGAATTTCGGCTTCCCGCCGACGATTGCAGAGGAGGCATGACGGCTGGATGCTAGCTGCTGTGCACTTCCTCCAGTGGGTCATTCATTTTGCTCGGTTCGCCCAGGCATCTCTGGAGCAGTTGCTCCTGAGCCCCAGCAACCACGCCGAGCGTTTTGAGGCCGGAGGCGTTTATATCGACAGCCCTCTTGTACCCCCAAGAACCCTAAACCCTGAACAGGCCCTAAATCCTAAACCCTAAACCCTTTAAACCTTAAACCCTAGTCTGAACTGCGAAGCCTTGCTCTGCCAGTTGCTCGAGACTTGATGGGCCGGCCCCAGCCTTTGCTCGCGGCCAGCTATCTTGAGTACAAGAACTCTTGCACATGGGGGGTTTACGAAAATAAGGGTTTAGGGTTTAGGGGTTTAGGATTTAGGGAATATAGTCCCCCAAATAGTAGGAGTCCCGTTTAAAACGGACTCCCCATTAAGGTGCCCCTAATTTCGGAAACCCCCACATGGTGCATCTTGTACAGTATTGTGTATAGAGCTCGCTCGACGTGATGTGACTATGTATTTGTCGATGTGCACCTACATGTATGCAATGTATGCATTCGTAGATGTAGGTACTCGTACTAGATACAGATAGCACACATTCTCCCTTTTGTTGTTATGTGGTCCCGCCCCACCCACCCACCCCTCCACTCCCCGCGATCTCAATATATCTATAACAATATATATGTATATATATATATATATTGATTTATTTATACCGTTTACATTAATATACTTGCATACATATATGTAGTCGTTTCCAGGTTGGTATTTGAAGAAGTGCATCGGGGATAAATCGCCGACGTGTTTCAGAGGGTTTGTAGACCTTTGCCCGTATTACGTCCTTGCATCTGAGACCGCGACACCTCCAGGACAACAGTACCAACACAAGGTTGTACGTAAGTGGTGAGCCACCATGAAACCTTAGTGGGATTGCCTCTGTGTGAAGATACACCTTCAAGCTAAGTAGAAACACAATGCATGGCGCATGGCTATGCAGAGCTTCTGTGTTGCTGCAGTTTATCAGGTGACGGAACCACCTCGTTGCATGACATACGTGCACGTGTTTCACATGACAGTGTCTCACCATTCTGCATATCATGCGGTTCTCATCGAAACATTTGCAGGACGAGCGGCAGCCGGCGGTGTAGGAGTTTGCTATCAAGTTGTTTTTTGATGATCTTTTCGCTGCGTCAGCTTTGGCCCAAGCACCTAGGCCACGCGGGGATGTGACAGCAGGCTGACCGCAAGGATGAGGGCACAAATAGAATTTGGCGCTGGTGCAATGCAGATGTGAAAAGCCACTCTCATGATACCGTAAGCCTCTCAACACTCAATCACCACGCTGTATTGATTTCCTGGCTCGTCCCAGCTACCACCTTAGCTGCACACGGCTGGTCATGAGCAAACTACGACTCAAATCCTGAAACCAGGTCTGCTCTGGTGAGCTTGGCGCGAGCTGATGCAGGCTCAAGCTTTCTGCCGACCGGTGCGAATTGCGAGTGCCACTTTGTGGATCTCAGATTTCTTCAGAGGAAAGGGACAATAGACATCTTTTTGGTGAACTGATTCGTGGCTTTTGGGTACACACTGTCGTGAGACGAATCTTCTGTCACTTCCGCAGACGGCCATCGTTAGCTCTCTCTATTTCGTGCAGTCACCTTTCTCTGGTCTCCTGCACGAAGCTCTCCCACGTAGCCCCGAAGTCAATAAGGGCTGCCGACATACGCTTGGTCATTGGGACGATTGAACCCCATTGGAACCCTGGAGAGGACAAGCCAAGTTGCCTCTCCAACCTGTGTCGATGTGTTGGGGTTTGGGGAGCTCAGAGTAAAGTCGGTCATACACCCCAGCAACCCCACCGTATCTCACCGGTTGCTGGGACTCAGCATCCTTACTGTTGTTGGCCCCTGATTGCAATTCAGGATCGTCAGCTTAGAGCACTGCCACTGGAGACGCACTACCAACAGCCATGGTCACGAAGCTTCTTTGCGCTACCTTCATGGCCTGCTGGATTCATACAGCCAGTGCTGATGCCCTGGCAGGAGCTGGCGAGATGCCTAGACGTTTGCGTTCCACACGGCATGGTGAGCCGCAGGAGGTGACCTTGGCCACCGGCTGCAACTCAGAAGACGAGATGATGATGGCCAAGCTCGGTGGGGGCAACGCCCCGGGGACTTTCCCGAGGCGCATGTCGGTTTGTGGCAGCAAGAGCTTCAATTTGTTTGATGGCCTCGATAACTCCACGTTCACCTCCTGCATAACGGCCAGCACGGGAATCAGCCACAGCTGCGCCCGATGCTTCTTAGCCTCAGCGCAGTATGGAGCCGATCACTGCAAGTGGTCGTGCTTTTGGGGCTCCTGGTGTGGCGCACAGTGCTTGGAGTGTGTTGAAAGTGCCAACCGAGACACTCGCGCATGTGCTGGGGTGGCTGTGCCAGAAGCGAACGCTTGCATGTAACATGTAAAATACAATGTAAAGAATTCCGTTGGATGTACATTCTTTTGTCACGGTACCGCTGTTAGAGCTCGAGCCTTTCTTGCGGCTTTCTTCACAGTTTTGCAGTCTGGACTGGCACGAAGGTGTACAGACCAGACCGGTCGAGAAGCCACTGCCTCCTTTTAAGTTTGGCAGTCGGGGACCGTTTCTTCTGGTGGGACATCCAGCGCCCATCACGTACAGCTCACCTTGTGCTGCCCGCTACAAGAGGTATGCTGGGATTGTCAGAAACACTGGCGCTGCACGTGAAACTAGACCGCTTCTGTGATCGTTTGTCGAAACAAGAAGACTAGCAGTGCATTCGGAACGCACCTCTAACTTTACGTAGCACCGGCAGCCAACAGAGCTTGCAGACAGAAGGTCTTCGACTGAAAATCTTGCCAACGTGCGCAGGGCCGACAAAGATCCGATCGGCGCGCTCAGCACCTTGACTGCTTTGGACTGTGCGGGAGCGGCACGGGGCAGGAGCAGGATGATGTGATGTGGCTTTGGAATTTGGATGAGGCCTCATGCCCCTCGACCTGAAGTCAGCGAGGCTCTTCGTTCTCAACCCTAAACCCTAAACCCTAAACCCTAAACCCTGAACCCTATGTCTTTTGCGCAGAGTTGCGGATTTCCAGAAAGACGCTGAAGAGGCAGCTCCCCTTCCGCACGAGAGGGCGATCCCCGGTGCACATCCGCCACCTTCCGCAGTGCCGCAGGCAAGATATAATCATACATATATAATATATATATATATATATTTTTTTATTTATTTATTTTTTTATTTATTTGTTTATTTATTTATTTATACTTATTTAAGAAGAAAAATCTAATCGAATATAAGATAGTATAGATTAATACAAAAAATTACAATAACATACGGCGCCTCATGGATTGCGATGGAACTGGAGGGATTCTAGTGGGATGCTTCAGACTGCGCAGTGCGAAGTTGTCGCAAGGCAGCGGCACCGGTTGTGGCTCCTGCTGCACCTGTACCTCAGCGAAGACCTCAGTTGCCGCATGCTCTAGCGTGCGGGCTGGAAAGTGGAGGTTTTCAGGCTTCGGAGTGTAGTGGGCCTCAATCCGTGTTCCAAGAACCAAAGATTCAGGCTTCAATGTTTACAATCAAAGATCAGTGGTGTCCAGCCTACTTCGTCTTTCTGAAGCACAGTGCTGCTCGGAGATGTCAGCAAGTTTGCAGTGCAGACCGTTGCATTCTGTCAGGCACAGCTCAGCCGGCACGCGTCCCAGCACCTTGGCACAGCTTTCATATGCATCTGGCAGACCGGCAAAGCATGTGCCTTGAGGCTCCGAGAGCATGCTTGATGTGGACGTGACTGTGCTTGCATTTGCACAGTGGGCCTCATGCTCGGAGATGAAAATGCAAGTGTGGTTGGGGTGGTCCGCACAGATTCTTTTGCCGATGTCTGCAATCCACTCCGGCATGGGGCCACTTGGGGCCAATTTTTTCAGGTCATGGAGCTGAAAAACAAAAGCTCCAACTCGCAGAAATCACTCCAGGTGCGGCTCGTAGGTAGGTGAAGAGATCCATCTGCGAGATGATCAAGTATGTGTAGCTTTTCTTCGTGTGAAGGATGTCATCGGCTAGTCTAGTGGTTCTTGCCAGATCGAGCTCAACACGATCAAGAATGCCATCAATGGCAACCATAGCGACCTGGCGGACTTCAAACGCCACGGGGCGGTCTGGCGCCAAGGGAAGAATCGCTCTGGTCGTATGCCTCGAGGGTACGCAAGCGAATCCCAAAATATCTAAACATGAACGACTACCTTCTGCCGAGCACCTGCCACGAAGTGCGGCTGACATCTCGACTGGTCCCTTTCGCCCCAGACCTGCTGGGCTCGCGTATGTCGTGGTTCGATTCGTGTAGTCTTGGAGGCTCGCTTGCTTTCCCTAAGCATCGAATCGACGAGTGGGAGCTGCTGAAGCTAAACCCCTCCAAGCCTGGGGACACAAGCCCTTAACACTGCTGAATGCTCAGATACAAAAGAGACGCAAGCAAGTCAAAGATTGAAGTACAGAAGCGCCTCAGTGCTGTAGTTTGTCTGAGGCCATACAGCAGCAAATGCAATCAGAAATCAACGAGTCAGCACCCGAGCTTGTGGCAAGATATGGAAGACCACACCTTCCACACCCTCCGGTTCCAGCTGTCATCAGGATTCGGGAGTCATTAAGCTCGGTCTTCATGGAGATCACTGCAGCTGTGCGAAACAATGCTGCTGCAGACCAGGACTCACAGACTTGGGATTCCGAGCCCCTGAACTGTTAAACCCTGCAGCCGCTGAAGCCCCAAAACAGTTGGTGCCTCGGAGCTGGCAGCAGGCAGCTGCCTCGATTTTGGCAGGATTTGAAAATGAAGATTCAAATGCTGAACGAACAGGCCTTGCCGGCCTTGTCGTTGCATTTGGGAGACCATTCTTGGGCTGGGAATGCCGTCTAGAATGTCAGCTCTTTAACATAAAACCCATTGGCCCCTCCACAGGCTGTTCGGAACGAGACGGCCTTCGCTCAGCTCGCAGATGCCGGAGCCTCTTTTGATGACCCTCTTGGTCTAACCGACTCGAACCTCAACTTTTGTCTGCATTTGGGGGGGGGGGGGGGGGGGGGGGGGGGGGGGGGGGGGGGGGGGGGGGGGTGGGGGGGGGGGGTGGGGGGGGGGGGTGGGGGGGGGGGGCGGGGGGGGGGGTGGGGGGGGGGGGGGTGGGGGGGTGGGGGGGGGGGGGGGGGGGGGGTGGGGGGGGGGGGGTGGGGGGGGGGGTGGGGGGGGGGTGGGGGGGGGGGGGGGGGGGGGGGGGGGGCGTTTATTGAGTTCCCGAGGCAGCTGACCAATCGCAGTCCAAGCTTCGTGCAGCGGCCCAGGAAGCTGCAGCGTTCCTTTGCAATCGGGTTTGGGGGGGGGGGGGGGGGATGTTTTTTGGATTACAGTTTTCTGCAGTCGAGATGCGAAGAAGTGGTTCAGTGCCAGGAGATGCAACAGTTCTCTGAGCGCATGCGGGAAGATCTGTCTTCGTTGAACCAGAAGACGGAGTCCTTACAGGGAACAGCGTCTTGGCTGGCCTCATGCACATGACTGTACCATGCTGTGATGGTCGTGCAAGTCGTCCGCAGCTCTCCGAAGCTATGTCAGGTGCTGGATCGCGCAGACCAACTTAGAGGTGAGACGGATCAGCTCTCACAGGACTACACTTGCCCAAGCATGTCAGGGACTTGTGTCAGAGGTTCGGGGCATGAGCCTTATGAGCCGTGTGAGGACCTACGCACTCAGCTTGAGAAGCGCAAGGCATCCTCACCTGTGGAAGCAAGTTCACAAGTCTTGCGGCAGCTTCTCAGGTTCAGCTTCAAAAGATGGTTCAGGATGTGGTCAACATCGGTGAATCATTGCAAGGCAGTGCGGTTTCCGCATCTTCTGGAAAGCCTAGCGAATGCCAGCAGAATGCTTGGGCCGAAGGCCTGGTGAACGATTTCGGCGGAGTCAAGAGGGAGTCTGGTTCTGCTCAAAACAAGCACGCTCCCCAGACTCGCAAGGGTTCATGCTGGCGGTGCATCATGAAGTGCTGGAGCGGCACATCACAGGAAAGGAAGACAAGCAGATCTTGCACTGTGGCTCTGAAATTTCTGTAGTCAGGCTTCAATCCACGTTGTACTCGCTGGACGCGCGTCGGCAGCAGGCACGGGCCCATTTGTTCCTAGCAGCCTGGTGCTCTGAGCGTCGGGCTACGATGCGATTGCGGGACTAAGCGGGACTTGGGCGCCTGCCAAGGGAGCCACTGCACCAGTGTGGCCCTCAGGAGTCAGGGGGTGAATCCCTGTAGCATGGGGTGGCAAGACTGCTTGAACTGAACTGTGTGCAACTTGCATTGGCTTGCAGGCAGCATGTCAAGTTATGTCGCGGGGGCCCCGAGCTTCTGCATCATGGAGCCTATGAGACCCAACAGTTGTCCCAGCATCTGCCCTTCGTTTTTCCTCACATGTACCTGGTTTGAGGTTACAAATTAGAGTCAGTGGCGTGAACTCAGCCATCGGGTTTTTGTTCGGTGTCCCGTGTTGAGCCCATGAATCCTTCGCTAAGTTCGCCGGTAACTGCAGTTCAGCGAATCAAGCGCTGCTTTAATGTGGTATCCTGATTAGTGTGGGGGGGGGGCCCCCCCACCTCCCCCCCCCCCCAAACTAAATCCACCCCCGCAATAGTGTCACCAAAAAAAAGGGACCCCCCCAAACTAATTTTCGGCCCCGGCCCCCCCCCACCGGCTCCTCTTCATTTCCTCTTCGCTCCTCTTCCCTCTCCTCTTCCTCTCCCTCTCCTCTTAGGTAATTAAGCTCAGGTAAGCTCAGATGAGCTCAGCTTCTCTCTTCCGAAACCCATGCCCGAAAAACTTTACTTTATTGTGGGGGGGGCAATCGAATTTTTGTCTCCTGAATAATTTTTGGAAAACTTTTCATTATTGGAGGGGTCCAGACTAATCAGGATACGACATTAATGAATTTATATACTAGTGGTTCTTTAACTCTAAAATGTTTTGGGGGCAGTGCTGTACAGGCTGCATTCATCAAGGTACACTTTCGTTGCTAGTATTATGGCGTTGCTGTGCTTTTGGTGTACTGTGCATTTCGTACGTATAAGGAAAATACATACCAGGCATTGAAATGAAAGCTTACCGGGAACATGGACAAATGCTGAACAAATTAAACTTCGGCGGGTGCATGTCTACACACATACATAGATACATATATCTTTTATATGTAGTATATGTGTACACCCTCCCATGGCTCGCGCCTACTCTGGTTGCTGTACTTGATGGGGGCGTGAGGGAAAGTTGATGGCCCGATCAAAACTCCGACAGTGACAGGCGCTCGTCATGAGGAGGAGAGGGTTCCCATATATGTATATGTACACATGCATGTATGTAAGTATGCATATATGTACGCATGTTGTCAACAACCTCCAAAGTGAGCAATGAATGTCTTGAACAACTAGGTCCAAGTTCCAGCCGCTTCCCGTTGCGCAGGCGCAGTTGTGCAGGGCTGCAGAGTGTGCAAGAGGGCAGAGAGAGCGAAGCTGCTGCTTGGTGCGCTTGATCCAGACATGACCCAGACCCAGTCAGCCCTTGATGCTTCGCAGGCGCCGTATGTGTACAGCCGATGCCAGGTTCAGCGCTGAGTCCGTGGCACTGACTCCGACCGTTTGGCCTGTCCTGCGGCGATTGTCCCGGCAGTGCGATATTGGGATTTATACTGAGACGCGGAGGCAGGGAGATTCTCAGAGGACAAACGCTCAGAACGGTAGTGGCCAATTGAAATTATGCAAAATGTATGTTAAGCCCCTTTTCCTGGAGCATAGAGGCTGTCTTCAAGATTGAAGCAGTCTGGGCTCGGAAGGGAGCCAAATTCAAGTTTGCATGTCACCCCTCGCAATATTTTGGCAGCTACAAACGAAGACAGAGAGTAGTCAGCGTCTTGGTTCTGCCAACTGAGGATCTATCTTGCAATGGCACATTCTCCCGCAGCACACGTTCAATACTTCATGAATGCAGGGATAATCATGCACTTGAGTTCTTGGTGCCTGTAGCATTCTTTCGGAGATGCCACTACAGATGCGCGGGCGTGGGCATCGTCGGCAGTGTACCAAGTCATTCGAAGAGGGGGCCCAAGAGACTGTGCTAGCCAGGCTCGGGCGAGCAGTAGGAGATGGGGTACAATGCTTCCATGTTCTGCAGCAAAGAACCGCCCCGGCAAAGCATGGCATAGCACAGCCTAGCAGCGCCCATGGCGGAAGTGTCGCGCGTGCAGCGTGGCCTCGGCAGGCCGTCAAGGACCCTCGGATTTCAATGGGGCCGTTCAATCTTCGCACCCTGCACACCCATGTGACGCCAATTCCAGGCCTACACAAGGGGTAGCTGGACAGGCTCGCGTCTGAGACTTCTCAGTGCTCGCTACTCTGGTATACCTTCAGTTCTCAGGTTGCAAAGTCCTCAACAAGAAGACCCAAGCCAAAGGCGCCCTTCAACAGATGAGCAAGAAGATGATTGCATCAGCCTGTGTGTGTCAGGCTTCGCTGGGTGCTATTTCTGAAGCTGCTGCCTGGATGCAACAGATCATGCCGCCGAGCAGCTTCATGCGTGCAGCTTTCACTGAGGCAGAATGGACAGAGCAGTCCGCAGCTGGCCACCATGACTTTGATGAGGAGCTGGAGGCAGTGTGGGCAGAGGCGCTGATTTCGTCGACTTTGTGTGCGATGGACATAGCAGGAGTGAAATTCTGAAATGTCAGGACTCACAGACTGACAGATGTTAGTTGTAGAGGTGTGTAGAGTCTAGGATGCACATTGAAGGCAGGGGCTGCAGCCGGTGCAGCTGCGCCAGCTGCAGGCCGAACTGTAACAAGTATCTCATTTGTCGTGATGTTCATGAAAAAACCATAGCACACCTTCTCAACCTGCATCGTTCAGAATGCAAGCCAATGCCATGTCTACAGTCTCTTGCTAGGTGCATACCCCGAGGCATCAGGTTAGAAGCCTCTGCGCGCCAGGTAATCGGAACGGCACCACATCTGCAGCATCGATTGCCGCATTGGCGTTGGCATCAGCCAACGCTGCAAGAAAGGCTCCTTCTTCGTTCTGCTTGCCGTGTCGCAAATGTTCATGCTCTGCCAACTCGATGCTCAGGGAGGTCTTGGCATCAGCTGCCACACTGGAACAGCGGACTCTGCGACGGCTGCACCCCCGGTAATGTGATGCTGGGGATGTTCTGAGCATGTCGCTTCACACGGCAATGTCTCAGGCAAGACGAGGTATGATCCAACCTGGTGGCCCTTTGGCAAGGACTTGAGCAGTTCAGTCCCAGTAGTCATGTGGTCGACACCAGTATTGCAACGTGGGCAGGTCTGTGCATTGGTGAATATGTGCTGCTTTTCTATCTGCACGCTTCTCCCTCCAATTGCCTCCCCGATTTCAAGTGCATGCGCTGTGAAACGAGGAATGGTCAGCTCAGGTGAGCTCAGGACAGCGCCGGCCGAAAAGGCCCACTCGGTTTAAACGGACTGCTGGGGCTTAGCACATGCTCCCCGTTCAGGTTTCCAGAGAACCAGATGGCTCAGACCCACAGGACGCAAAGCTGTTGCCCATGCTGGTCGTATGTCGCGTCATTCTGCGTGAAGCAGGTCTGTCTCTGGTCTTGGGTAGACTCGATAGACGGCTGGAAGAGCTGTAGTTGTATGGCTGTAGTTTGAAGGTCGGGTAAACTGAGGCTAGCATCATCTAGTAACATGCGACATCCGGTATCCGTATTGCGATTGCAAGGACATTTTGACTACCAGACCTCCCCTTTGAATTTCCCCCCCTTCCGTCCTCTTCCCCCGCTCCTCCCTCCCCATCTCCCGCTCTCCCTCTCTCACTTTGTTTCTGCACCATGGCGGCGACGGCTGCATACTGCGTCACGACTGCGTCTGCTGTCAACTGTTGCTTATACTGCTGTCGTTCAAGGGCCGCTTGGTATCTGCATCATGTCGTTCTGATGCAGCTTCAGCAGGATCAAAGCAAACTGCCTCCCGAGCGATGGCTCCCGTAATCGAAATCTTCCCAGTGCCACCGCTGCAGTGCAACTGTAGCATAGTCGGGGACTCTGAGTCCAAGGATGCATTGGTGGTCGACCCGGGCGGCGATGTCGATCACATCGTCAGCCGTCTCAAGTTCCATGGTTTGACCTGTAAGCGAATTCTGATCACGCATGGTCACCTGGATCATATCATCGGGGCGACAGAGCTGAAGAAGCTCACGGGCGCCGTCATCCTTATGAACCAGAATGACTTGAGCATCTATGAGAAGGTCAAGGCTTGTTCACCTTCGGAGTAGAGTTCCATGCAGGGATATGAGTCCGTGTCCTTCTGAGTGAGTGGCTTCAGGCGTTTTTCATAACAGGGCGCACGTCCGAATCACCTTCTAGTTCAAGTTCGCGGTCTCTTCCGGTCCCTGAACCTTGAAGACCTAGGAGCCCTGCATACCCCGCCCTAAATCCCGAAGCCATCCCAAGGCTAGTAAACCCCCACAGAAGCCAACATACCTAAAGCCCTGAACCCCCAAGGCCTGAACCGCGCAGGAGCAGTGCCGCGACTTTCGTGTCCCACCGCCCTTGGAGCCGCTGCTGCCACCAGACGACTTCCTGGCTGATGGCGATGTGGTGCAGTGGGCGCCGGACCTTACGGTGAAATGCTTGCACTGCCCGGGTCACACCCCTGGCTCTATGTCCTATTACTTTGAGCAACACAAGCTCGTCTGCCCAGGGGATACGTTGTTCCAGGGCTCCGTCGGCAGAACGAACTGGGCAGGTATTCCATCGCTTCAAGGCACTTCCGACGGGAACCAGATCATTGGAAGCATCAAATCAAAGCTTCTCACCCTTGATGGTGATGTCCGAGTAATTTCAGGGCATGGACCTGATACCACCATTGCGGACGAGCGGCGCCACAATCCATTCGTGCGATGAGGCTGCCCTGCAACCTAAGGCCTAAGCGTCATTAGACACGGCAGCGGTGCACATTGCCACCCCTCTGGTACCCGACGCAGGGGGGGCACGTTATGCTGAGGCAAAAAATAATGCTGCACATGGCTACACGGATCGGAAAGGATACATGGCCTGCCTTGCTTCGGCTCGTTTTGCAAGGAGGACTCAGAAGAGGAGACCTCTGAAGAAGAGGTTGAGATGCAAGAGGTTTCTATGCGACCCGGCTTGCATTCTGGCATCTGCCAAAGCTGCCATCAAGAGTGCCATATAGGGCGCCTGATGCCTCAAAAGATGTCACAACAAAGCTTCTCCAAGTTCTTGCAAGGCCGAGCCCTGCCAGTTCCCAGCCCAAGGCGCGCTCCTCAGTGGGAGTTTTGGGGAGCTGTTGGGAATTTTTGAGACTTATGGCGCATTTCTCACGCCCACACACTCTGAGAAGCCGGGTTCCCAGGAGGCCGATGTTGTGGAGCTGAATATCGACATCATCGACCTTGAGGCGCTCATGCGAAAAACGCAGTGAGAGTCGGGGCAAGAGCCAGCATGACGCCTGCGACGCCTGCAGCCCATTGCATTTCTCCGGCTCTGCTTTGAGCACCGGCTTGAGCATGTACTTCAGATGCAGCAAGGTGACAACTGCAACCTACCACACGACTTGTGGTTTTGTGTTGTAGTAATTTAAGTTTAAAGAGTCATTGTCCGGTTGTCGTAGTGGCCGCCTGCAGATGGTTAGAGGATGGACAGCCCTGCAGCCCTCCTTTGGGCTGTGGTGATGTATGCAGGGTGGAAGAGCTGATCGTGAACGAAATGCCACCTCGCAGAAGAAGGCTGAAAGAGGTGGCAATGCTTCTGGTGTGAGAGAGACCGGGCGGTTCACAGTGTTTGGACAGAAGCCACCTGATGCTGCGCACAAAGAGGACAGAGAGCACGTTGAGCACGACCGTGGCGAAAGACCCGTTGAGGCATCTCCGACCGAAACTGCCACTGTACCGGGCACGCCGGGCACCGCACCGCGTGTACGCATCTCAGAGCCGCAGCCAGAAGTTGTGGACGTTGTGGATCAGTTCTCGGAGCCGGACACAGCGGAGGACGCACTCGAGGAGGATGACAAGGAGGTCGACCATGGTCGGCGGAAAGCGCTCAGAGAAAGCCCAATCCGAACAAAATATTCCCCGGATACAAAGCGAGATTTGCGACGGAAGCAAAGTGAGGGGCCGGATTCGGCAGAAAACCTGCTGAATATTGCTCGTCAGTACGACCGTGCGCAGTCGGTAGTCGGGGCGTCCGACATAAAAGCAACGACGTCAAAGTCATCAATCGCCAACGTAGGAAAAATGTTCACCGCCTCTCTCCGAGAGGTAGTGACAAGCTCGAAGGACCACAACGTTGTTAGCGCCAAGCTTCTCCAAACACTTGCGGACACCAACGAGGATGAGCTGCGAGGCACCCTCCCACCGGGAGCTATGGCAGCACTGAGTCGACATTGGTCAATGGAGGGCATCAAGAAGGTCTGCGGGGTGGATGAGGCTGCCGGGCAAAGCGATTTCCATGCCATGCGTGATAAGGGGATGTTCTTCTGTGGCTATCAAGATGCGGCGATGAAGAAGCAAGGCCTCCCGTCCCTCTTTGCCACGGAGGCTGCCTTGGAGGATATCTCCAGTTCGGACAGCGAGGACGAAGACCAGGTGGCCCTGGAAGCGCGGGGTCAGAAGGCCATTCTAAGACCCGAAGATGATCGGCTCATCATGCTGCATCGTGTCAGAGGCGAGGCCGTCATGCGGAGAGTTCCTCAGGACCATGAAGCGGTCCTGGATTTCGGAGAATCCCGAATAAGCGTACCCAGGAAGATCAAAGAGAAAGGTGGTCAGCTCCAGAAGGTAGCCGTGGATCTGAATGATGATGGTACCGGCAACATTGTCATAACGACCCAAACTCCCAGGCGCTCCTGCAATTCAAGCGCGCCCAACGCCTTGGCAGATGTCTTGGACTTGAACAACCTGGAGAAGCAGTCCAGAAAACAGCCGAATGACGACACCCACCAGGTTTCACGTCAACTGACCCGCCCACCTCCGAGTTTCAAGGAGTGGGAGGCCTGGCGAGAAATCCAGCGACAGAAGCGTATGGAGTCAACAGATGACGCCATCAGAAAGATGCGCGATGGTCCGCAAGAGACGAAAACCACAGCCGCATCAGCCGCATCTGCGCGAGCAACCAAGGAGGAGAGCGCAAGGACACCCAAAGACAACTCACAGCAAGTGATTGCTCGCAAAGCCCAGCGAAACGAGAAGGAGACTGTCATTGTTGCAGGGGCAGCCATTGAGCCACGGGATGCAGCAGCTCCGCCGGATGAAAACGAGCTCAGCCAAGCCTTGCGTCAAATGTCGGTTGACCCTCGATTGATCTTAAAGGCAGCTGGACGAGAGCAGTCGAAGTCTATAGCGTCTTCAGAGGAGAATGGATTGCCTGCAGTTCTAAGCAAGCGCTGGACATTGAAGTCAGCTGGTGGAGAGCGGCTACGGATCGACTTCTCTGCAGCCATGACTGTTCGAAATGCAGGAAAGCCAGTCAACATGTCTGGTTCTTTCACAGATGAAGGTAGCGCAGGGAGTCGAGACATATGGAGCGACTTTTTCATTCCGATGCCTGAGAAAAGCACGCTTCAGCGCCTGAAGCAGAAGATGTTTCACTGCTGCGGACAAGACGTCCGGAGAAGTGCGCCAGAGTATGTCAAAGAAGCCCTTGCACAAGGATACAATGTTGCCGCACAAGTAGCGTTGTATTCGCAAGCCTTGCCACTCTGGCGTTCCCCTGCAGAGTGATTCTTGAAGGGGTTGGCACCTGCAACGAAAGAAACACAAGCTGGCACAGCTCAAACTCAGGGAGCGCCGACCTTGGCAGACTCTGGAAGGCAGGCAGCCCAACCAGTCCATGCCCAGACGGTACATGACTTTGGCAGTAAGTAACTGTCTGTAGCGTCTGGTTCGGCAGGTCTGAGAGGATCATTCCAAAGGTGCAACTCTAAGTCCGAACCTGGCAACGAAAGCACATGTGACTGGATGTGATGCACATATTTTCCCAATTGCAGCCAGGCCATGGAGGTCCCAAATGGAGCCACTGCATCCCCTTCGCACCATGCCCAGCATCACGCGATGTAGCAGGAGGTTGGTCGTTGGAAAGAAACATAATTTCTGTTCATTGGTGAAGGCAGCTTTAGCTCCTAATGGTGCATCGTAAGCTCGGAAAGGTTGCACAATGTGGAGGGCCCTAAAACCTAAACCCTAGACCCTAAACCCTAAACCCTAAAACCCTAAAACCCTAAACCCTAAACCGTAAACTAGACATCCGGCATGTGAACACGGAGTTTCGTGCGCGCATCGCATTTCGAGCATGAGTGCCCTGTGGAATGAGAAGTGCGAGGTCATGCAAAGTCCCTCCGATCTCCGAAACATCGGAACACTCACTCACGGAACAACTGCGCTTTGACCCTGCGCCCTACTCGGCGTGCCGGAGCCAAGCCCCCGCAACTTCGCCTTATAGGCCCCAAGCCCAGAACAGGGGTGCAAAACCAGAAGAGGGCGAAGCAAGTGTACCAACACAGCGAACCCAAACCCACATCTGCCTTCAGATCCGGAGTATCTCGGGATTAACCATGTTTTGTATCTGGCAGCCCCTTGCCCTGTCGATGCTTTCTCTCCTGCGGATGAGAGAGCGGTTGTAGAGGGCCTGATGGGTTGCACTTTGGTGACAGGACAGGGGACAGCAGGTCCTTGGGATTGTGAAGACCCTAGTGCACGCTGGGGCGGCCTTTGATTGCGTTGCTCCTCCCATTGGTGCCCCGGTGAGGCCTGCGGGCCGTGTGGCATGATATTCCGAACGAACAGCCCTTGTCCGTCCATGACAGAGCTGGCTGCCGGGTCGCTTGCTTGTGACAACATGCTGCACACGTACGGCTTTTCCATCACCTTCGCCATTCACGGTTGTCGGCGCGCTTTTGTTGCTGCAGGGTTTTCTTGCGAGCTAGAGCCGAGGAGTGGACACAGGAAGGTAGGCGCAGGGCATGATGTGTTGGCTGCTGTGTGCCAGGCCTGTAGCCACAGCCTCTGCCTGTGACAGTAAACATCCAGATTTCCCACAGCATTTGCGCGAGCTCCAGTTGCGGACACAGGGCGTCCCTTTCTGTCTGATTCTTGCTGCGACCTTTGATACCCCCGAACCAAGTTCATCGAGTGCCAGGGCTTGTGGCTTTTCTGTGCTGGGAACTGCACGGTTTTGCTAATGTCGTAATGTCGGGTCCCGAGTGGATGGTGATTGTCTGTTTCGCCTTTAGTTTGATGCATCAACAAGGCGCAACGAGGCTGCATCCGCTACGGATTCGTTGCCTGGAAAGTCAAAGAAGTCAGCAGACGAAAGCCCACTAGATTTCTCAGCATCCTGCCTGAAGTAGGCACCATTGAGACAAGTAGAAAACGCCCTTCAGACCCCAAATCATGTTTGACGCGGCCTGGCCAGACAAACGCTGCATCTCCATGTCATCAAGGGACATCCAAAGCTCAGGCGCGGACGCGTTGTGGTTGGCGCTGACATTGCCGAGAAGGCTGTTGAACTTGCCGCAGCGCGGCTGTGGGTGCGTTCTGTGTCGACGAATTTGGTATCGTGACTGGACAGGCTGCACGGATCGCTATCGGCAAAGTCGGGGTCCAAGAGGAAACAGGTGCAAGTTGTTTTGTAAGTCGCCCATGTTGGCACGCGATCTGAGCGGAGGCTTCCGGGGCCGCAAAGTTATCCAAGCGCAACTGCGGTGGAGAAACGGCCCTGGTCCCAGCACAGCCTCCCTCCAAGTAAAGTCCCAGCAGCAGGCCAAGCTGCTCATGAAAGATGCCCTGCACAGGAGCGGCAAGCGAAGGTTGATACCCCAACTCCGCACACAAAGCCTGAAGGTGCGGGCAGGTTCTGATGTAGGCTGTAAGTATCACTAAGTCTTTGCTTGGCCAAAGGTGAGGACGATGCTGAAATCGAGAAGGAATGGGAAGAAATTGCACGTCGCAGTGAGGAACTTGCCAAAGAGGCAGGGCAAAGCCCGATGCAGCTTTCGCTGCACCTACTGCTAAAACTTCTATAACTACAACTGTAACATGTATTTCGTATTATCAAGGTCTGCCCCATACTGTATGCCCTCAGGGCAGCAACGCGCGTAGACAAGCCCAATGTCAGGCGAGGGAAAGCCGTGGCAAAGTGGCCGCGCAGCAAGACGTGGTGTCCTCGGAGCCTCGAAGCCCGCCAGGAAGTTGGCCATCTGCACCAGCTTTTACTCATACCTATCCAGCCACAGGCTCTCAGCAAGCCGATCTCCTACAAGGAGGCGAGGCTTTTGCTGCATGGTCACGGGCCATCAAGATCCGGTGAGAGATGCGAGAGCAGGTTCAGGCATGGCTTCAGGACATAGCTTCCACGAAGGCAGCGCCCGCACGTCAGGGGAGTTTCACGCGTTTCACGCGATGGCCAAACCCGACAGACAGGCCGTGGCCTCTGCGTCCTCAGACAAAACAGGCTCCAAGCCTGGCGGGTGCCTCGTTTTCTGTCGGAACTCCACAGATCTGCTAGGCTGAGTCTTCACTATCAGGGCCTGTTTCTTTCTTGCGCACAGATGGAGAACTTGGAGATGAAAAGCCCGGACAGCCATGTGAGGCGACTGCCTTTTCCCTAAAGACGGGAGGTGTGTCCAGCATTGTCTAGCGCCCACTGCGCACTGAGCCAAGCTTGACGATCGGGCGAGGAGTTCATCTTTCATCTGAAAGCGACACCGCCTGCTACTTAGTGACCAGTCCTCACTGTGTACCAGTAGAAGAACTTGCAACACGGTCAGGTTTGACTTCAACGACAGAGTGCACTACCGCATGCTGCACACGATGTACAGCAAGCTAGCGCGCTGCAAGGCAACCTGGATGTAATCTTGTTGCTTTCAATGAATCCATACATCTGTGTGGGGGCCTCGGGAGATAAAGCTGAGATCGAGGTCTGCCCGCGGATTGGCAGCCATTGGGAGGCTGGCGCATGCCTCTCAGAAACTTGAGCAGGACGATCCCATTGGTCCAGGTTTTGGGTTTCCAGGGCACCGATCCGCAGACCGACCTCAATCGTGCGGGCGGTTTGCTGAACGTCGGATCCCGAGCTGTCTCGCGCAAGGCATTGATGGAGGGGTCTTTGCATCATGTCGCTTCGAGGTCATCCACATGTTCTTCTGCTTTGTGCACTTCTTTGAGGTATTCCATGCTGTCTTTCGGCTTTCTCAGGACCGCTATTAGGTTATGAAGCGAGCCAAGCCTCGAAGCTGCGGATGAAACTCTTCAAGTCTACGCATAGTAATTAGCAGGTAGTAGCATCTAAAGTAGGCACCAGCATACGCTGGCCGGTCAGACCGTCAAAGAAAACGCAGGACGATCAACAGCATTTTCCACTTGCCGCGGTTTCCATCAACATTACAAAGATTGTCATGGACGAACTGATTGCTGGAAGCCTTTCCAGCGAAATGGGCGGCACAGACGACGGGGTGTCCCTGGCCTGCCTTGACATGCATGACATATATGTGCTGGCAGACATCATGGTTTGTAAAGGTCATCCGTGCTGCCGAGACCACTTGCCGAATTTTCAGCAGCGGCGTGCTACCCAAGTTGTACCGATTATTCAAAGGTCATGCCTCTCAGTGCACATGTTCCGAGGACTGTACCACTTTTACAGCAGGTGGCGGACGCAGAAACGCACCATCAGGCACACGGCATGCTCCGGACTCCTGGTTCTCGGTCTTTTCAGTCTATTCATTGCACCTTGTCTTGAAGTGCTAAGTTGTTGTGATCTTTGCTGTTAATTTCTGTGTAACCCACCAATGGAACCCTCGGTTCTGCAGAAGTTCCTGGTTGAGAACCTGTCAGTGGTAGACCTGGTAGACGTTGAGAGCATCTTACTTTGCTGACAAGGTCCAAGGGCAGCAGATGGTAGCAGCTTACTACGCTCGAGTCTTCTTTCGGCACCTACGCTGCGTGAAAAAGCAGAGGAGAGCTTCCCACAGCTCGCGTGAGAGAAGCATCAGTCAGAATTCCACAATGAAGATAGGAACATCATGAACATGAGACTTCGACCATGAACTGACATGTCTGAAAACGGCGGTGGTACCGAGTTGCCGGGAGCTGCAACTCCTGTTCCATGAACAGCAAACTGGCGTGGCCTAGAGTTCAGCAAGAGAGCCGCCGCAGCTAGCATATGAAAACTGGCATTGTGCTTTCCAGGATGCTTTTTCAATCACTAGACCCCTTGAAATCTCACTTTTCGACCGGTTCTGATAGTAGAGGAACTCGTGCCCCTGTGTCGGGGGGCAAGAACTACTGCCCTCCTGGAATGATTCCCGAGATCCCAGAAGCTCAGCCACGCAGGGACAGTGAACAGACCTTCAAGGAGGCCGAGCTTGGACATGAGCCTAAAGCTTGGCGAGCGTAAGCCGTCTGCAGGTCAGAGCGATGCTGAGCAGCCAGCCAGCAACGTTGCTAGAAGAGCTGGACCAGGCAGCTGGAAGATGCTACTGTTACAATCGGAGCTGGCTATGTCGGCCATGTTGCTTCTGCAGCCTGAATGTGAGCGAGGGAAGCAAGCGAGCCACCATGAAGACCGAGATGCTGGCCCAAGTTGCTGGAGCCCTAAACAGAACATTGCTCCAGAACACACATGCTTCACCGGTCCATGCACTTGTGACTTGTGACCTCAGGAATTTACGGACCTACATCTCGCAGATCATCATGAGGTCCGACGGTGTCCTTCCTTCCGCAGTTATGGCCAAGTCTATGTCAACAACACAACACATGGCCTGCAGAGGCGACTTTGTTGCGTTTGCGCAGAAACACCTGTCCCTGCGAAGGGGGTGCTGGCAGACCCGGATCGTGGCAGATGCAGGCCTGCACAGACTGCGCTTCGGCCATGGCGGCCTCTCCTACTGTGTGCAGGCACTACCAAGCAGCCGAGTGATCCCAAGTGAGGGCTCCGAAGTGCCGAACTGGAGCAAGGATTGCATGCCTTCTGCCCAAGATGGGCAGGAAGCTGTACCAGCTGTGTAGAGTAGAAGCAGTGGAAATGCCTGCTTCTCGCATGCCGCACAGGACTGTACATAGACCAGTGTATTCCATAGACTGAAGGACATGCAGCGCAGGACACTGCCTTCGACCAGATGTGCAGACCTCAACAAACAACTACAGTACCGAGATACCAAGATTCACTTCGGTACATTGTCCTCATCGTCCTACGCCGCTTCCTTTTGATGCATGCATTGTTTCTGAAGTACAAAAGACACGAAATGGGATGCCAACTGCCGGACGTTGTTGGGTTTAGGGTTTAGCGCATGTCTGCGTGGTTGCCGGTCTGCTCAACAGCTGAGTCAAGGCGAGGAATAGGTCCTGATGAGTGAAGTGCCGCGAACTTGTGTCAGCACGTCGATCTCTCTGCTAGAACCAGACGGAGCATGCAGCATAGTAAGCATTTCGTAGCCCAAGAATGAAAGAACACTCCACAGTAGTGCCCACATGGCGTATTTCCTGCAGGCATCGCCAGAGAATGATCCTGCCCAAGTGGTTTCAGTTGGTTTGCAAGAGGAAGCACTGCGAGTGCTGGATCAGGCAGTCGACGCCCTTGCGCTGCTGATTGCGGCCTGGGCTGGAAGCTCACTTGGAAGCTCGTTTCATCGGTAATCACGACCATTGCATGGTCGCCATCGGTAGTCATAGTCACGACCCCTGCATGGTCGTCATTCCCTTTTTCAGAATTGGCTGCTTCCGTGGCCCTTCAGACTCGATTGCGATCAAAACTAGAGACCATGAACTGTTTAACATTGGCAGGTGCAAGTGTACCCCCGCAGTTGCAGATGCCTCAGTTTGAGGCTTGGCACCAGCTCTTCCTCCTCGCTTGCGCAGGAAGCCCGTCAAGCCCGTGGAAGCCTCATCAGACTAAATCAGACTACACTCTCTGCTTTCTGGCCTCCTGGCACACTCTGAATGGCTGAGTGAGGTCATGCCAATCGGTGCTTCGGGCTGTCAAGGCCCTGCTTGGCACCGACACCAAAAAGTCTGGAGCAGATGCTCCAGACGTTCCGCGCTTGGACAGGACACGCGCATGGCATGTGCACAGTGCGCGCTTGCGCAGCGGCAGGGGCAGACGTGCGGAATCGTGCGGACAAGTCATGGTCTCCTGGCCCAGGCCTGGGAAGCGTCTCGGTGGAGGGCTGCTCTCCAGAAGCAGATTCAGGCTCGTCAGTTCACTTCATGCCACCAAGCATCTGGGCTTCAGAGTCTCGCTGTCGGCATTGTCGCAGTTGATACTAGAGCAAATATACTAGAGTAAATACGTGTGATGTCTTTGGCACATCAGGCGGCAGCTGCGTTCCTGCAGAGCGCTGCAGGTGGACCTGATTGCTAAAAGTAGAGAATTTGCCGTATCTTACCCATGTAGGGAGTTTATCTCAGCAAGCTCAGCTCCGCAAGAACGAGTCGAGTGGAGTTCTTTCCGGGACCAAGCCCTCTGCATCCCTCAGCCCACACACCACGGATGTGTACCTTAATGTACCTTATAGATGGCTCCGAGCACCTAAGAGCGGAAATGCGACAGCAACTCATTGGCGTTAAACAAGAAAAAAGAGGCACTGCAAGCTCTCAAGCCCTCGAGTGAAGACGGCATCTAGTATAGACAACAAACCTGGGCCCTGCCTTTTGCTTTTCGAACTTGCTGTTCGATAAAGCATTTCGCCGAGAGTTGAACTGCTTCTGAAAACCATGAGCTGGTGGACCCCAAGGGTTCACGTATCTATGAGGTGAGAAGGAAAAGCCAGCAACAGTATCAACAGATAAAAAAGAGCTCAGTCGCTTGGTGAAGGTGGGCAGACCGCAGTTTAACCGGCATCACTCGCACCTTGAATAATACAGGGGAGCGGGGGAGGGGGGGCTCCTGCACATGCTTTTCAATCACCTCCCTCTCACGTACTTTCAAGTTCTCGCTGTTCATCTTACTTCATCTTACTTCATCTTACCACCGAACTCGAAGTCTATGCTGCGCGTTGCGCATCGGGTGGTGCTGCAGGGGACAGTGAGGACGACGAGCCAAAGTCGATGCTGAACGGCCCCGACGGTGATGACTCCGAACATGAGGCATCATTTGTATGGGTTGGTGGTCTCTTTAAGTAGGGTTTCTATTTTGAAGGGGGTTTTATTAGGGATCTAGGGGCTATATTAAGGTATAAGTATAAGGGGAACATATAAAGAGGCCACCGGCCATGATGAGGCATCATGTCAGCGGTTAGTCGTTGCACTCGGCTCTGCATATGACCGCATCCATCCAGCCTTTCACAGGACGCGCAGCCAGCAACATGCGGCCCAGCGCAAGTCGTGCCAGACGGTGCATGTCCCATACTCGTGGTGTTCAGCCATGTGCTGACCAGCTCATGACCGTGTGCTTCCATTGAATTCCGAGGTGTACCTGTTCAGCATGATTCAGATTCAGGGCTTGGCTCTCAACGAATCAAAATGGTGAGGTTTTGGGAGGCCGACCTTAGACTTCTCAGGCTGCATTTGCACACGTGCGATGATGCAGCCAGCGCGGATGCTGGAGAAGCAGCTCCAGACATCTTCACGGACTGCCAATAAGTGATCCCAAGTCGGTCAAGCTGCAAGCTTAAGACGAAGCGCTTGACTCAAACGGCCAGAACGACCGTGCGGCGCAGGAAGCTGCAAGTGATCCTGATTGCAACCTGATCGAAGAGCGTAGCCCTCAGCATTTCCAGAACAGGTACTACCCCTTTGCTACCCTGAGGCTGTATGGCATCTGTTGAAGAGCGCGTTGCCTTGCTGGGGTAAGACGCTAGACCTGAAGAGCCGGGGCTCTGCATTCTGCATTGAACAGTTTCATGTTAAACATGTTTCCATAGAGGCCGGCGCCAGAGGGCTTGGAAGCTTCCCGTGAGGAGGTGCGCTGCTGCTAACGTCTCAATGTCATTCCTGGAGTGTTTCCAGTCAACTGTTGTTGCACTCACAGGCTGGAGAGGAGGATGCTCCTGACCGGGAAATATCACCTGATTCAGGCACGGTCGAGAGCAGTCTTGTCTGGCACCATGCCTTTATAATGCTTGCTTGCTCCGGGCTCTCATGTCGTAGCGCAACACCGAGATGCCAGGCATTTGTGGTGTTTTCTGTGGCTTAAGGCTTAAGGCTTAAGGTCTGGGTCGGGTGCGGAAAGCAGCGGTTGCTTATGGGGTGTCTTAAGGGCATCCATGCCCGAGTGTTGATGTCCCTAAAGCCTAAAACTCTTCATTTTGCACCAGTGCAGCCCGACAGCTATGAAGTCCCAAACGATGTCGAACCACAACACCACGCTTTGAGGTTGCACATCCATCAGCAGCAGAACGTGCTCGCAGTGTAGCAAGAGAACCCAAATTGTGAACGAAACCTTGGCCCCCTCGGTGCTCGAGCCACATGCATTTGTTGAAATAAATTCGAGTTTCTGCCTGGTCGTCTCGCCACATGCAAAGTCTGCGTCCCGGTTGCAATATGCGTCTTGGCCTGGGTTTCGCGCGCGTGCCTTGTCCAGAATAAGCAAAACATGTCTCTAAGCGCACGGCCTGTTAGAGGAGCGTCCACCGTGTCCTTGTCACCCCACCCCCCATTCACCATTGTGGCTGGCTTCCTCGGCCCAGAGTCAGAGCAAAGCTCGATGGGTTAAGCTGTCGCGCCGTGGCATTCTGGTAGACACATTGCTTGGCTACTGAAGTCGATGTAAAATTATAAAAATTATGGGAAAATGCAAGACCAGAAAATGAGGCTGCATCCGTAGCAGTGTAGCATAGTGTAGCGCTTTGACATGCAGGCTGTCAGGACTCTTTGACAAGGGCAAGCAGCTTAAGCATCCAGCTGGAGCAGGAGCCTGCTGTGTGCTTAGCCCCGCGGCGAGATTCTTCGCGATATGGGCAATCTGTGCTTCGCTTGTGGATGATGTGGCTTAGGCTCCGCAGTCGGGAGGAAGCCGAGAAGCAGAGATTCCCAATTCGCCGGTCATGGCGGAGACATGTGTGGAGCCACCCATGACGCAGATAGAATCAGCAAGTGAAGTCGGTGACGTGAACGATGTGTCCGAAGCAGAAGTCTCGGCGGAAGACCGACACTGGCACTTGGCTCACACTGCATCGACTTGCTCTGGAAAGGCTGAGATACCGACTCAGAAAGAAACCTCAAAGGACCCAAATGCAAGCTCTGCAGATGGGATCGTTTGGGACGAGTCCAGAGGCAAGCCCGCAGAGGCCACAGGGAGGGAGAGACACGCTGATCTACATGGGACTGCATGGACACATATGGACACATACTTCCTTGCACTTCGACTTTCTCTCCTGTGCCCTGTTATGAGGCCTCTTGGCGTCCGAGCTTACGGCCTGCGGTGAGCTCCCAAGCCCGATGTGCCGCCTTTGAGTATCGATGGCATCTCTTCGACAATTCCTTTAGCATGCTTAAGCCTGCTCACCAAGCATGTTTCAGTGTTTCAGTATGTCTTGAGCTGACTCACTCACAGAATCCTGAGGTTCGCAAGGAGCCTGGCCTGGAGGACGATCAGACAGACGAAGAAGCCGACGGCCCCATCCTTGAGCACGCGCAGGCTAGCAAGCGCCTGCTAAACACCCGGAAACGAATGGAAAATCGACAGGTAGTCGTAGGGACCGTGAAGCACATGGTAAACAAGCCCGGTACACTAGAACATGCCTGACAGGCGCGAATTTGGTGCCGGCGTGATCGAGGATTGGATGGAAGCAATTCCGACTCCATTCAAAGCAGCTCGAGCCGTGGGAAGCCGCGTGGAAGCAAACCGAACTTTTGCTCGGGCTGCGAAGGCATGGCACTAGTGAGTCGGACGCACATGAATCTCCAGTGTGCTTGCAGCTGAGGCCACGAAGAGCTTTTTACAAAGCACGGCAGCCGCCAGAAATGTGACGGCTGAGTGTGGCTTGTACATAGGGTGGACGCACCTGGAAATCAAGCGATCTGAAGGGAGGTGAGTGTAGCACAAGTGCGGTTGGGGATAGCTGAGGTAGGCCGTGCATGCACGCAGCTTGACGTAGGGACCGAGCCTGGCCAAAGACATAGGTGGCCACGATCTTCTTGGTTTCCACAGCGTAGAAATAAATAGCCAGCGCGAAGGATGTTCGCGTGGCATCACTACCGTTTCCTTTCCGAAGCCGGAAAACCATCAGACCATGAGACGGGCAGGATGTTGTTTGGGTGACGAAAAGCCAAGCATTGCCTTCTGTCGCTTAGAGGGGCTGCTTTCGGCGGCAGTGGAGCATTTCAGAAGATGCTTTCAAGCCCAGCAAAGCTGGGATGAGGGTCCAGGCCCGAGCCTGATAATGATCTTCGGCCCTGGCTGAGCCAGAAGACGTCTAGATCACCAACCGACAACTCCCCAAGTTCGATCCCATCCCCAGTAGCTCACATGGCTTGTCTTTCGAACTCTCAGACATATCCTGCCTGGAGTCCTGATCCGTCAGCTTTGGCGAAACTCCGGCTGCCTCAAGAAGCCTCTGAAATCGATGGATCGGGATAGAGGTTTAAGCGAGGTCCGGAGTCGAGAGCGGCCTTTGGGAAATGTATCGTTTTCTGAGCCCCACACACAAAATCTACGCACACGTCACACGCCATATAGACATGCGGCAGCATTGCCAAATGCCTTGCAGCTTCTCTGGCAAGTCAGCCCTGTGGCGCCGCGCCGCCTTTAGGCTAGTAAGGCGGGTTCGCCTGCGAGATCTAGCTTGCTGATTTGACAATGGGCAGCACACTCAGCAGCTGCTGCCACGCGCTACGGAGTCATCGTGCCTCCTGAGGCCCGCCCAGCCAGAGCCCAGCACAGCCTGGCACAGCCTAGCACAGTGCCCACCCACGTTGCCCCCCATATGGCTGGCCCTCCCGCCTCTTGATGCAGGTCTTTTGAGTGGTTTTGGGACCCCACGACCCCTTCCCCTGAAGCGCCGAGCGAGGCCAAAGTCGTGTTGGCCAGCGATGGCCGCTCGACCCGGTCAGTTTCAGGGAGCTTTGCGGAGGGAAGCCACGAAGCCCAGCGAAAGCTGAGTGCGGAAACTGAGGCGTTTGGGAGGTGATGGGTCCCTCCCCTGGTTGCAGATGCCCCTGTGGTTGGTAGGTTTCCGCAAGACCCCACAATACAAGGACCCCACCAAAACTTCTCCCAAGGCCGATATCGCCAAGCTGCAATCAGCCGCTTCGACGGCTGGGCGGAGCTCACTGGTCGGGCGCAGAGTGGTCTCAGAGTTTCAGCATTCACGGATGACTTAATAGAATCGGGATCCATGTGGGTGGAGTTCCGTTGTACTGCAGCAACATGCAACACAGTAGCACAGGCGATCCGCAGCTTCATGGCGACTGAACAGCTCATGATTTTGGATCTGACGGTTGCAAGCTTATGCAAGCTTGCGAGTTGCAGGTTGACGATCTTCAATGGCTCAGAGCATCACAGGATGTCCGACCTCAGTTTCTGGAATGGTTCGTCCTTTCGGTAACTCTTTTTTATCCAATACAAGGAGAAATTCATGGTCGTCACTTGTCATCATGCATGGTCTATCATGTTCACATGTGAAGCACCTTTCTGATGAAGCCTGGGCATCATCTCATGCACTCTCGTATTTCTGCTATCGCCTGAGGAGCTTCCGGAGATGTTTGCCTTTTCGCACACTTGACACCAGGCCCTGCTCCTGCTGCCAAGTACGGCCACTTGCATCGTAAGCCGGGGAAGACATTTCGCTTAGAACGCGGTCCTTCGGTATGGAACAGCTTTGGTGTGAAAGGTGTCGCAGCTCTTCAACCAGGAAGTCAGCTTGCAGGCAGGAGCGACTTTCTTTCCATGTTACTTGTTGCCATGCAGTAGGTGCTGGCCGCGTGCTGCCCCATGAGCTTGTTTGCGTGCTCGAGTTCACGGGTCTGACTCTCATGGCTAGCTCGCTCTGCAAACTTAGAGGATGCATGCTGGTCATATGGCTCGATGAAGAGTGAGCCTAGTCCTCCTAGTCAGCGCAAAAGCGGGGAGGTGCATGTGAGATGAGCAATACCGGCGCTGCCAGCAGTACCACTACATCCACGGAATCGGCATCCACATGGGCCGAGCCTGTGCGGAATCTGCTGCGCGGCTTGACTGGCAATGCCAGCAGCACCACTACATCCACGGAATCGGAATCCACATGGGTCCAGCCTGTGCGGAATCTGCTTCATCGCAGCTTGTTGGGCAGCTTGAACGGACGCGATCCGCAGCCGACAGCCGAGCCGGCAGATGCCCACCGGTTTCCAGGTGAGGGTCGTGTCCTAGGGCCTGTGCCAAAAGCCCAGCCTAGCAGCGCTGCAAGAAATCGCAACGCTGCAAGAAGTCAGCAGCAAACAGCCGCAGACAGCATTGGCCAAAATGCAGAAAGGGCCATACAGGCCATGCAGCTAGCGCAGCGAGGCTTTGCCATGTTTCAGCAAGCCATGGAAATTGGACAGCTGGAGCATGAGATCAACCACCACGTTGATCCTAATCAGGACCTTTGCGATCGTGCAACCCAGCGCCGGGCTTCACTGGACCAGGCAGTCGCACAGAGCCTGGCGAACCGGCCTCTCGATGCAGGAAGTCTCTTTGCACCTTTACATCGGCTTCAAAGCAGCCGTAACCGGCCTGCGGTGCTCCAGTCTCACAACACACAGATTTCTAGCACCGACGTGGCTGACGTTTTAGAAACAGGAGGCCAGCTGGCTGGTCCACCGCAGCCACCACTTACTGCCCTGGACCTGGCCGACACTTTGGAGACAGGACTGCCGCAGCCGCTGCCGCACCACAATTTCGAGGTTGGGCCGTGGTACGAAACCACAGTCGATGGCGTTCAGTTTCATGCACCTGTCGAGCCCACGAACTTCTACATGGTCCGGCAATATATCCGAGAGCTACGCGCACGGCATCCTCAAGCCCGAATTGCAATCCTGTCCGGGACCCATGGCTCGGAGAACGGGATCACAGTGGTGGAAGATCCGTACATGGGGGAAGCTGACTTTTTTTTTCAAGACTTAGGGCATGGCCCCGTGCCGTTCTCCAACGTGTTTCATCTGCAGCACGGACAAGATCCAGGTGCGTTGGCTCAGGCACTTCACGATGGACGCTACAGCCACGTGATTCTGGCGACTTGCCATGGCGCTGAAGTAATTGGGCCTGAACCGTCACCATGGATGCTGGAGGTGTGGAATGCTATATCCTCGATGCAGATCCAGCATGCAGCCATCGATGAGAGCCCTGCAGACCAGCCCTGGTGGACTTGGTGGACAGACTCCTGCTCACTGCAATGATTTTCAAAGTCCTGTGCCATTCGTCGAACGGCATAGGTAGCATGGGGTCACAAGAACCCAGTCGTATGCAGTCACATGGAAAAAGAAGCACCGGCTCTTTGAGGCGCGGGTGGAGTTTCTCGCGGTGCCTTTAGAACACACAGAACCAAGCCAGGTAGGTGCGAGCCTGGGTTCTTCCAAGGTGCAAGGTATGTAGTCTTGCAGAGGGATTTGTTCTTCGGTGTGTGCCAAGCGCCACGCCCAAGCGAGCCGGAAACTACGTACTTTTGTAGCAAGGCTTGGACAGCTGGTTTGCTTAATGCCTCGCACACGCTTTTCATTCCTCCTTGCCAGCTGACAATATTGCGTGTGTGACAAGTTTGCTGTTGCGATTGTCTTGCAGGCACTACTTGTGACACGTGGCGCTCCACAGCCTGCAGGCCAAGACCCTTTTCGAAGGGTTGATCAGAAGCTTGGAGATGGCACTGACGTGCTTCAGCTGATCTTCCTTGCATGCATGTCCGCTTCTTGCATAGGCCCAAGCCTGTGTCTGTGGATTCCGCTGCAATATCAATGGAAATAGCAACTCATCTCGTGCCGTTTGTACAGGGGGCCTGGGACCTGGCAGTGGGCCCGGCACTTGATGACCTGCGCCGCCGACGGGCTGACCAAGCTGCTCAAGACTATCGGCGGCAGTTGCAGAGCATTGATACAAGCTTCGAGACTGTGACGCGAGGGATCGGTACACTTGCCACTACAATAGGGGCACAGCGTTACACCCAGTTACGACTGGCCTTCTCTCAGATCCAAACCAATAGTCAAACTGTCACCCGATCTTTTGAGCTTGCGCTCCATCGCATGAGCGAATTGCAGCAAAGGGAAGAGAGAAACCAAAGACGTACTTGTTGCCGGCGACGTGCCCGCAGTGTTGCAGAGCTATATCAGCCCATGTACCACGCCATGGCAACGGCACAGAGCCCCTTAAACCTCATGGGGGACATGGTGATGGCACTGCTGGCCGATGAAACCCTCTACAAAAGTTGGGAGCATGGTCGTCCGGTGCAAGAAGCTCAGCAGATCGTTGATCAACTTCAACATGCCTTGCTCCAGGTGCAGGGATTTGTTGCTGACTTCCGAGATGTCAACGACACAGGCACACAAAGTGTGGCCACAGACCTTCATACATGGCTGGAAGGAAAGTTGATTCAGTTGACGCAAAGCAGCCTGGTGACACAGATAAAGGACTGTATTCTCCAAGGCTTTGAAGAAGAGGCTGCATCCCTCTCCGAAGCTATCAAGACGGGGTGGGTTGAGGAATTCGTCGACAACAGGAACACGTTGTTCATCAGGAAGCTGAAAGCAAAATGGAACTGTGGCGTAGGCACTTATGGCCGCGAGACTAGGCCTTTGCGGATCTGTGAGGGATGGACCGTATTGGCACTCAGGCTCTCGGATGATGCACAGGCTCGACTTCGCACCTTCTACAGTCGCAGAGGTGAGTACTTGCGTGCAGGCACATTTCCGGATGAGGCGCTTCCCAAGGTCCGCTGTCGCAGGGAAGGTTTCAGCATGAATCAACTACTTTCAAGTGCGGAAGAGTTGCCCGAAAACTCTTTGCGGCTGACAAGCTCCGATCTCGGTATCCAGTATCCGGCTCCTCCTGACCCCTCAAGCATGGAAGGGCTGCTTGCTGCTTTCGCTGACGGTTTCGGAAGTTTCCCCTAGCGAAACCCAACATTGAAGCCGCTGCTGCAGAAAAAAAGTGTTTTCGATGTACAGGAAAGCTACTGAGCTGGCACATGTTGGGCTGGCACATGTCCCGCATCGCTGTGAATATGACAGCAGCGTAGCTGAGTTTCGTGACATCTTGGGAGCGACGCTCGAGTGCAAACATACTGTCCATTGCATGTTCCCCAATACGGGAACACGAAC